AATTAGTCTTAGTCTTGAGACAAAAATGCTTATGAGTTTTAATCACATTTTAGTCATTTTTATCCTTCATAATTTTAGTCTAGTTTTAGTTGGCGAAAATTCCAAACGTGTTAGTCGATGAAAATTCAAGACATAGTTTTCTTATGACTCTTCGTTGTCGCACAATTCTGATATAAAACACTTAAAATGTTCATATAACAACTTGAGAAATATTAAAAATGTGGCTCTGCCCATGTACATCACATTTTGTAGTACTGTTGCTGTAAGAACTTCAAACCTCCAACATGGAGCAGGTTAGTCGAGCGCTGTCACATCCATCCTGAGTGTGAAGCTGCTGAGTCACTACAGATGTGACTTTATACACAGCAGACTGATGCTGTGTCACATGTTCATGGTTCAAAGGTGGACTCCAGAGTCCACACGCAGAGCGGGATTTATGACCGGATCAATGCTGCTTAAGGGATTTACAGTGATTCTGTACTTTATGGTTACCACACTGGATCTAAAGTTTATATATTCCACATGGAGAGCTGACAGTGAAGCACACACAAGTCAGATCTGTTTCTGTTTATTTCAGGACCCAGTGAGCAGTTAATAAAATATTACTGTGCCTTCTTTGTGTTTTCTCTGGTGGTGGAGGAAGTGCTCACATCCTTTACTGCAGTAAAAGTACTAATGCTGCTCTGTTAGAGTCAAAGTCCTGTGTTGAAAATGTTCCTTCAATAAAAGTATGTATCAGGAAAAAGTAGTTAAAGTATTTAAAGGTAAAGTAAGGTGAAACTTTATAGTCCCAGAGGGGCAATTTGAGATATAGACAGTAGTTATGAGTCCAACAAAACAGACATAACACAAGTGTCCAGTATCACACACTGTCAGGGGTAAATCATGGACATAAAGGGTCCGTGCTTGTTAAAATAAGCAACAGTACAACAGGACAGAAGATGATCTGTAACGCTTTGTGCTGCATTTAGGGAGGCAAAACCTCCTCCCTAATAGAAACACAAACACGAAGGGGATGTTGAGAGTCTGAGACAACTGGCTAAGCTTAACAGGTGACCCTCGCTTCATACAGATGCTGGACGTTATTCAAAGTAACACCAGTGATCTTACAGCACAACTTGACCACTTTTTCCAACACACAACACAATACACCATTAAATATGTACAATTTAATGATATGATACAATAGTGACGTTCTTGGGACCCTAAATTGATGCCCACATGGGAACAGCTCCAACTGTGAGTGTAATTGATGTGTGGTATCTGTTATTATATGTTTGGCCTTCCTGCGTACAGCTTTATCAGATATATTGCTGAGTTGTTCCTGTGACATGCCAATCACCTTCCCTGCATTGCTGACAGTCTTAGAGAGCTTGTTTTTGCTCCGTGCACTCAGGTTGCCGCACCATGCTGTAATGTTAAATTATAAAATGCTTTTAACCAGGCTTCTGTATGTTTCTATTAGTTTTAAGTTTCTATTAAATGTTAATGTCTGATCAGTAATTGTGCCCAAATACATAAATTGTTCTTATTCCATTTGGTTTTGTTTAATGTTCAAGCTGATGAACTTTATTGTTTTTTGCAAAATACACACTTACTCTGAATGTCATGCCTGGAACATGTTCCAACTTTTTTGGAACATGTTGCAGGCATGACTCAAAAAACACCAGTTTTGAACATTTCACAGGTAAAGAGGTTGACTGGTAACAAACGATCGTGTCATTAATAGGTATAAAGGGGCACCCTTGAAAGGTTCATTTGTTCACAAGCAGGTATGGTCACTTTGTGAGAAATAGTGTGGACAAAAAGTCCAACAGTTTTAGAACAACGTTTTTCAACAAACTGTTGAAAAGAATTTAAGGATGTGACATCTACAATCCATAATATCATCAAAGGATTCAGAGTATACTCAGAAATATCTGCATCTTAACCCCATTTCAGACCCAAGATTCACGACGAGACGAGTTGAAACAGGCAAGTACTTGCAATGCACAATTCTGCAACGTCGTAAAAACCTGCTGGTTCACACCAATGCAGCTAGATCAGGCACTAGATAAGCACATACAGTGAGCAGCAGCAGCAACCAGCAGGGCTCAGCGGGGATGGAGCACCTGCCGCAGCAAGTGAACACGCCGTCTGTGGTCATTTTGACTTGCGGACTTCACTAGAAGTCAAGCGGCTAATGAAACAGGTGAAGTGCTTTACGTTCTAAAACCAGCCACTGCCAGTTTCAATAGCTGAGTTGCAGGTGATCATCAGCCGGCTTGAGTCGAGTTCAGACCGGCCAGTTCACACTGCTGCAACTTCTCTCTGCAACGTTCTGAAATGGTTTTAGGTCTTAAGGTGCAAGGCTGAAAAGCACTTTTAATTGGCAGCGACCTCTGACGTTTCAGGCAGCGCTTCCTTAAAAACCAGCATGACTGTATAAAGGATATTACTGCATGGGCTGAGGAACACTTTGGAAACCACTGTCAGTAAAGACAATTCATCGCTGCATCTACAAATGCAAGTTAAGACTTTACCATGCAAAGTGAAATCCAGACATCAACAACATCTAGAAACACAGCGGACTTCTCAGGGCCCGAGCTCGTGTGACACCCTTGACACAGAGTGGGAAAGTGTGCTGTGGTCTTGATGAGTCCATTATCGTGTCCTCTTGGCTAAAGTGGAAAGGAACCATCCAGATTTGCCCATGGCAAAAGAGTGAAGGTATTAGACTGACCTGGCTGCAGTCCAGACCTGTCTCCCATTGAACCAGTGTGAAACATTATGACACAAAATATGACAACAGCGACCTCAGATAATTGGGCAATGAAAGTCGTATATCAAGCATTTAACATGGCGTACAAAGTTGACCAATTTAGGTAGTAGTAACAAGCTAAGTTATCTTGAAAGAACTCATTTGAGGACATTGAGACTTTATTATTGTATTTTCAGGCATTGAAATAAACAGTTTTATACTTTATTACATACTCGTGACTGTTAAAAATTACCCATAGTCCCTGTATGGGGATGTTTTTTTCAGAAACTACACACTGTTCAAAGATGCTTCGTTTTTCATACAGATCCAAGTGGTTTCTTTCAGGGTTATACAGCTCGGCTATGAATGTCCTGCAGAGAGTAGAAACTCGTGAATGGAAACAGATTTACGCTCTCTGTCTGGAGGCTTACACACACACACACACACACACACACACACACATACATACACATACACATGCACATACACACACCTAAGTCCCACTGGGCTCAGCGCCCACAGAGTAAAGCTTTACTGTTTGGTCACATTGTTCTGATAGAAGGAAGCTGGTTGGGAGTCTGGAAGCACACACACACACACACACACACACACACACACAGTCTGTCAGGTCCATTTTTTTAAGTCCTGTGCAGGTTTTTAGTAACTAATTATGTCGTCACTCAACATCAACACCTTGTGTCCTCTCCCCTTGCCTCTCTGTCACCCCTCCTTGTCTCCTCCCTCTCTTCTATCCTTTCCTCCTCTCTTTGTCTCCTTTCCTCCGTTCTGTCTCCTTTTCTCCTCTCTTCCCCCTTTTTCCTCTTTTTGTTAACTCTTTTCCTTCTCTCCTCTCCTTGTCTCCTCTTCTCTTCTGTTCACCTCTCCTTGTCTCCTCTCTTCCTCCTCCTCCTCCTCCTCACCACACCTTGTCTCCTCTCCTCCTTTGGCCTCTCTCCTCTCTTTGTCTTTTTGCCTTGTCTCCTGTCTTCATCTCCTTGTCTCTTTGCCTTCTCTCCTCTCCTCATCCCTCCCCTTTGTTTCCTCTCCTTGTTAACTCTCTTTTCTTGTCTCCTCTTCTCCCCTTCTCTCCTTGCCTCCTTCTTGTCTCCTCTCCCCCTCTCCTCCTCTCCAAGGTTATTATAGTTCACTAAAAATAACCTAAACTAAAAATAAGCTGTTCCTCTCCCCTCTACTTTCCTTGTCTCCTCCCCTCCTCTCCTTGTGCCTTCTCCTCTCTCCTCTCTTTGTCAACCCTCCTCACCTCTGAAACAAACAAACCCTCTGGGAACTAACTGAGACTAAAGTGAACTGAAAACAAAAAATGAAAAATGAAATACAAATGAAAAACACAAAACTAGAATAACTGCTCCTCTCCTCTCCTTTCCTTCACTCTTCTCCTTGTCTCCTCTCCTCCTGTAGCCAGGTGTGTTCCTCGTTGCCAAAATGGCGCATTGTGCCGGCAGTCTAACCGCTGTGTGTGTCGACGGGGTTTCCACGGTAACCGCTGTGAGGTTTCCTCTGCAGCGCTGACCCCCTCTGTTCCTCCCAGCATTGTCCCACACCGAGAACTCACCTTCACCTCCTACAGAGACACCAGACTTGCTCAACGCCCCGCCATCAGGAAGACCAGAGTCCTCTCAGCTCACTCCGGTCCTGCTGTCACGGTAATGCCTCCTGCCTTCATGACAACCAGCAAACCCAAACCAGCACCTGAGACCCACAACAAGCAGGGGGATGCAAAGATCCCAGAATCTGCTCCTGAGAAGTCTGGGCAATTTAGAGTAAAACCTGAAACTAAAGCTGAGGACAGAGGAGGTGTTTCGAAGGAGCTTCTAATGCAGGAGGAGAACCAAGCCTCCCCAAAACGACCACAGGTGGAGCAGAGAGCCGAGAGGACGCAAACACCCAAGTTCAACAACTTGCAGCTGCAGACAGGAGACAGTGAGGAGGAGAGAGGAAAAGTCACAGCCGGCATCACAGAGCTTAAAACACAAGAAACTCCAAAGTTAAAATCAGAAGCAGAGGAAGAGGAGGAATCACACGCCTTCAAAACCCCAAAGCTGGAGTCTCTGTCCTGGTCTCACACTGAGGGAAAGATGTCACTAGATTTAAACGAAACTTCTAAACCAGAGGATAAAAGATTAACCCAACAGTCTGACTCAGAATCTGAGATGGTGGAAAGATTAACGGCCTCTAAAATCCCAAACCTGGAGTGGAGGTTTAAAGAGTTAAACGCTGAGCCTGGTGAAGAGTACGGCCTTCATCTGGGGTCTGATCCTGGGCAGAGGTCGGAGAAAAAGGTGGATGATGGTGGGACGGGAGAGGAGGTAGAGAAGAAGAAGAAGGAGGAGGTGAAGACTGGAGGAGCAAAGAAGCAGCCTCTGAGGTAAGGTAACTCCTCTCTGCTCCTCTTCTCTTTTCTCACTCTGTTTGCACTACATTTATCTGTCAGCTGCAGTTACTAACAGTGGTGGAGGAAGTATCCAATTACTAATACTACACTGTAAAAATACTACTGTACTAACCCAATTAAAAGTCCTTCATTGACATTGTTACTTGAATAAAAAATTAGAAGTATGCTCAGGAAAATGTACTTCAAAATAGTTGCCAATACATTATCTGTAAATAGATTAACTGACTAATAAATTCAGCTGTTTATTTTCATGTTTTGTGTCCAAAAATCTTTATTTATAAAGTAGCTCAAGCTGTCAGACAAATGTAATGAGATACTTCATTTCAAAAGCTGTCAAATTCTACAATATTTAGACATTTTAATCTCTATTTTTTGTGCTTGAAATAAGAAAGATAAAGTTTAACATCAGAAAACAGCGACAGAATTTATGTTGGAAACACGAGAATAAATTTGCATTCTTCTGTTCAGACAGCAGGTGGTGCTCTTCACCTGATAATACACACTGTATATACTGTAAGGTACATACTGTACTGTACACACACACACACACACACACACACACACACACACACACACACATTGCAGGCTGCTGTGGACACATGGAATTAAAGTGTATTTTAGTCTGTAAATGATTATAATAAATAATTTGGGATAAAAGTCCTGTGATACTCTGGGTACCCTTCCAGGTTGAACCCCGCCTCTCACCCAGTGTCAGCTGGGAACGCCTCCAGTCCCCTTACGACTCTGTACCAGGATAAGTAGTTACAAATAATGACTGAATGAATTAATGAATTTGGGATTTAAAAAACCAGACAACAAAGTGGAAATATATAAATATATAAAGGACATTAAGTTAAAGAAGTGCCAGTTTCAGACCTGCGACCTCCTTGTTGAGGAGCTGAATGCTGTGTGGGACAAATGATGTACGGTAGTCGAAAGACTTGATGATGCTTACCTGTTTAGATTGTGAGTTTACATTGAAGGACATTGCGACAATGCCCCATTGCCAACGCCTTATTTGCCACAAAACAGGAAGTTTTGTAACTTCTGTGTACCTTGTCTAATGTGCCCCAAATCTGACTTGTTTTATTGTAAAGCTCCAGGCCTGAAAGCATCAACATGCAAATAGGTATCACAGTGATTGCACAACCTACTGGCAACAGGAAGTAAGACTTGTCAGACAATTACCATGATTCATTGCTGTAGATTAAACTACCCAACAGCATATAAAGGAGTTAAAATGTGCATAATCTTAAACATCTAAAGCAGTAAAATGACACATAGACCTCAGATACACCAGGAAAACTTTTTACTGCAACATACATACTTTTTACTTTAGGTACTTTATGTACATTGTGCTGATACATATTTTTAGGACTGTTACTGGTGGTGGAGTATTTCGACAGGGTGGTATTAGAACTTTTACTGCAGTAAATGATCTCAGAAGATGTGTTAAGAGTTTTCTGTCAGTGTGTGAAAGCAGAGTTCCCTCAAACTCTCCTCAGTGTAAACAATGAACACAACCCGAGTCAGAGGTCAAAGGTCGTGGAGGTCAGCACTCAGAGCCAGGGTCAGGACGGACTGTGGGAAGACTGACACTGGGTGGTGGTGTGCCTTACGTGGATGTCCGGGGGCCATATTCACAAATGTCCTAGTCCAAAGAGTTGCTCCTTGTAAAAAAATTCTTAGAAAATCATTAGAATGGTAAGAATTTCCCCTTAAAGTTAAGACTCTGTAAAGATAGAAGTTATTCACAAAGCATCTCAGCCCTTAAGAGAGGTCTTAAGGTGAAAAACTTAGGAGGAGGCAGGAGGACTTTAAAGAGGTTTATGGGTTTCTTAAACGGGAGAAAATGGTGGAAACACAAAGAGGTTGGAGAAATATTCTCCAGACGCTGAGTTAATGAGATGCTACAGATTAGGTCATGCAGAGATAATGTTTGTGGTCGATCTGATTTGGGATACACTCACATTTCCCGCACAACACAACAACTCTGTAATGCCAAAAAAAAAAATGATCACAACAATAAGATATTTGGAAAACTGGAGAGATGCAACAGTGCAGCAGTGATGACTTGGGTCTGTCTCAACTTTCCATCAGCAGAGGATCACACTAACAATGACAACACTTTCACTGTCAGCACTTCACTTAATTTCCCCTGGGTGTCCCCACCTCGTAGGCTCACTAAAGGGTGTGTCTTTGACAACCAGTCACTTCTTTTTAAAAAATGTGTCATACCTAGCAACGGGGTCAACTACACCTCCTCACTAAGGTAAAAGTCTCTGTCCCGTCCTTGCTCAGAGTGGCTCCTAAATTAGGACTCCTCACTAAAATATTTTATACTAAGTTAGGAGCTCTCTGAGAGTGTTCTCATAATGTTGGTGAATATGGTCCCTGGTGTTTAACCCACTGTCCTGATGACAAAATATTCTCTCTGCTGAACATTAAAAAGGATTTTTAACCTGTTTTTCAAGTCGTGACCTTTTCTGTAATCCAAACAAAGATGGTAGATAGACATAATCATATTTTCTGCAGTTTTGTGGCTACCTGGACATGATATACTGTCACAATAATATTTTTTTAATCCCAATGGTTACAAGAGCCCTCAAAGACTCTGTAAATGGCAGTTTATGTTTAATCATGTTTAACATTTTAGTGTAGTATGTTAGTATGCTAACGTTAGGCAATCACAGTGAACATGGATTACAAAGAACCCAGTTGCCTAAAAAAACTGGTATTACTGGTACATTTCTGCAAACCATGGACATGTTACATTTGTACATTATTATGTAGCAGGTACTTTAAAACTCTACTGGAATAAGACATCCACGTTTGGGGCACAATGCTGCCTGGAAAAACAGTGATTAATTGCTAAGAGAACACCCATGTGTAGGTGACCAAAGAGCCACTGGAAAAATAGGGAGAGGACCTTAAAAACTCTCACACTTGGGGGCACAGTCCCAGCTGGAAAAACAGTGACAAGTTGGTAAAAACACCCATGTTTGGTGCCTAAAAAGCTGCTGGAAACACAGTGAAGACTCACTGAAACCCAACCCTTTTTGTTGTTGGTCTTGAACAGTGGTCTGCAGCTTGGCAGGCATGTTGTGACGGTGTCACGCCATCCACCATTCCCTCCACCTCCTGATGACAAAGTCAGCTCATATACTGCGTCACTTTGGAAACGTTAATATAATACTTATGAAACTTACAAATCTAATTTACAAAAACCACTTGGTTATGGTCAGAAAAAGGTCGTGTTTTGGCTTAAAATACCCAGTTATGGGGGCATAATCCCCGCTAGAAAAACAGCTACAAGTTGCTAAAAAACATCCACCAGTTGGGTGCTTTGGTTTTGTGGTGTCGAATATTGGTCTGCAGAGGTCTCCAGCTTGGCAGGCGTCTTGCCTCGGTGACCTGCCATCCACCATTGCCTCCACCTCCAGATGACAAAGTCAGCCCACATACTATGAAGCATTGATATGATTCGTATGAGAAGTACAAATATATCTGTGGTTTGCAGAAACAAACAATGCCAACATTTTCCTCTGAACACCGGGATGCTCTAAAAACATTTCATCACAGTTCATCCAATAATAGTTGTTGACATATTTCATGCCAGATTGGAGGTTTGGTTTATACTCTGTCAAACTCCTGGAGCAATATAAAGCTGATGTAATGAATTAAATATGAGTTGCCTGCCAGAACATAAGCATGTTGTTCAAATATGATAGTTCTAGTCCTCTAGAAACCACTTTCTCAAAGCATTTCAGTTTTATCCGTCCACCTCTGCATTGTGTAACTCGCTAATAAAAAGCTTCTCTAAACGAACCAGCAGCTGTAACATGTGAGATCATAGATGAAAAATAGACTTTCATCAGACTGCAGGGTGTCTCTGAGTGTGTATTCGTTATCAGTGCAGATTGATGTGTGTTGTTTGTTCTCCGAGCTGCTTTTCATCAGACTATTTAAGGACATTTTAAATCATTCTTTCAGAAACACAGTTTATCACACAGAAAATAACCGGCCCACATTCATACTCCCTCCATCTGAGAACATTCTTACCGTCATACCAGTCAGTTCATGTTGATGATGACTGTGTTGTTTTAAGAGCTGTGTGGTGAAGCCAAAGACGAACTGCCAAACTAACCAAACAAACAAAGTTACAAAGTAACTAATGTAACCATATTTATACCAAATGCAGTAATATTTCAGTGTATACTTTGTATATTATGTGTGTTTCTGTGTATATAATATGTGTGTATTTATTGTTTGTAACAGTCTGAGGGAGGCCCAGGCAGTTCTGCTGAGGAAGACTTTGTCACGGGGAGGAAGAGGAGACAAGATGGCCGCCCTGCTGATGAAGCACATTGAGAAGGAGAGGAAGAAAGTCACTGTGACCTCCTCTTTCTCCTCCCCTAACGCCTCATCCTCATCAACGTCATCGTCCGCAGTAAAAACCAGCGTGAAGACCTTTTACACTCAGAAGGGCCAGTACACCATCCACGTCACCGCACCCTCAGGTCAGTTAATGCACACATCACACACACACACACACACACACACACACAGTCTATCAGCTGCAGTAGATTAAAATCTCTTCATATTAAACAAGCCAAAGTGTTAGATATATAATAAAATGATGACCCAGTGATGGTGTGTCATGGAAAGTCAGAGGATTATTAAGTTATCACAATTCATCCTGAGGGGAAGACGATGTGTGTGTACCAGTTGTGTAATGTTTGCCTGGTGCTGCTGGAGGGATTCAGGATACGAGGGCAGACGTTGTAATCAAGCTTTCTCATGTCTGGACATGTTAACATGAGCTTACAGTGTATTTAACACACATACCAAAACACATGGGTCATTATTTAGTGTAATAACTGGTGTGAAGCTGATAGGGAGGTACTGAGAGATAAAGTGTACAGCACAGTCAGGTCAAATCTGTCAGCCATACATTGTTGGAAAAACAGGCTCACTGTGATTTAATGGAGCTGGAATGCCAGTTTGTTTCTGTGTGTTAGCTTCAGATAAGGTGAATGTTAATACAGCCTCATAGTGCAGGCCTGATCACTCTGATTAGACCCATAAACAGTTCCTGTGATTGTCCAGCTGTGGAGGGGACTGACTGGAGAACTGCTGCTTTACTATGAAACTGATGAAGGAAGGGATGAAAATTTAAGGTGGATATTGATTGATCAGAGGAGGATCATTTCTGAGATGATGTCATGAAGTGTGAAGCAGGGGTTCACCTCTTAACACCAAGGAACCAATAGAGGACGATAAAGAAACACAGGAGAGGGCAGTAAAAAACAAACAGGTGAAAACAGCAAAGAAACACAGTAGAGTGGCATAAAGAAACACAGTACAGTGCAGTGAAAAGTTGGCAATGAGTGCAGTAAAGAAACACAGTAGAGTGCAGTAAAGAAATGCATTAGAGTGTAGTGAAGAAACACAGTCAAGTGCAGTAAAGAAATGCAGTAGAGTGCAGTAAAGAAACAGAGTGCAGTAAAGAAATGCATTAGAGTGTAGTGAAGAAACACAGTCAAGTGCAGTAAAGAAATGCAGTAGAGTGCAGTAAAGAAACACAGAGTGCAGTAAAGAAATGCATTAGAGTGTAGTGAAGAAGCACAGTAGAGTGCAATAAAGGAACACAGTAGAGTGCAGTAAAGAAACAGTAGAGTGCAGTAAAGGAACACAGTGGAGTGCAGTAAAGGAAAACAGTAGAGTGCAGTAAAGGAACACAGTAGAGTGCAGTAAAGAAACAGTGGAGTGCAGTAAAGGAACACAGTAGAGTGCAGTAAAGAAACAGTAGAGTGCAGTAAAGGAACACAGTAGAGTGCAGTAAAGAAACAGTAGAGTGCAGTAAAGGAACACAGTAGAGTGCAGTAAAGAAACAGTGGAGTGCAGTAAAGGAACACAGTAGAGTGCAGTAAAGAAACAGTGGAGTGCAGTAAAGGAACACAGTAGAGTGCAGTAAAGAAACAGTAGAGTGCAGTAAAGGAACACAGTAGAGTGCAGTAAAGAAACAGTAGAGTGCAGTAAAGGAACACAGTAGAGTGCAGTAAAGAAACAGTGGAGTGCAGTAAAGGAACACAGTAGAGTGCAGTAAAGAAACAGTGGAGTGCAGTAAAGGAACACAGTAGAGTGCAGTAAAGAAACAGTAGAGTGCAGTAAAGGAACACAGTAGAGTGCAGTAAAGAAACAGTAGAGTGCAGTAAAGGAACACAGTAGAGTGCAGCAAAGGAACACAGTGGAGTGCAGTAAAGGAAAACAGTAGAGTGCAGTAAAGGAACACAGTAGAGTGCAGTAAAGAAACAGTGGAGTGCAGTAAAGGAACACAGTAGAGTGCAGTAAAGAAACAGTGGAGTGCAGTAAAGGAACACAGTAGAGTGCAGTAAAGAAACAGTAGAGTGCAGTAAAGGAACACAGTAGAGTGCAGTAAAGAAACAGTAGAGTGCAGTAAAGGAACACAGTAGAGTGCAGTAAAGAAACAGTAGAGTGCAGTAAAGGAACACAGTAGAGTGCAGCACAGGAACACAGTGGAGTGCAGTAAAGGAACACAGTAGAGTGCAGTAAAGGAACACAGTAGAGTGCAGTAAAGGAACAGTGGAGTGCAGTAAAGGAACACAGTAGAGTGCAGTAAAGGAACACAGTAGAGTGCAGTAAAGAAACAGTAGAGTGCAGTAAAGGAACACAGTAGAGTGCAGTAAAGAAACAGTAGAGTGCAGTAAAGGAACACAGTAGAGTGCAGCACAGGAACACAGTAGAGTGCAGTAAAGGAACACAGTAGAGTGCAGTAAAGGAACAGTGGAGTGCAGTAAAGGAACACAGTAGAGTGCAGTAAAGGAACACAGTAGAGTGCAGTAAAGAAACAGTAGAGTGCAGTAAAGGAACACAGTAGAGTGCAGTAAAGGAACAGTGGAGTGCAGTAAAGGAACACAGTAGAGTGCAGTAAAGGAACACAGTAGAGTGCAGTAAAGAAACAGAGTGCAGTAAAGGAACACAGTAGAGTGTAGTAAAGAAATACATTAGAGTGTAGTGAAGAAACACAGTAGAGTGCAGCAAAAAAAACAAGCCCTGAGTGAAGGATTAAGGAACAAACATGTCACCTGCAGGTGGAGTGTGTGATGGAGCTGCTGTAATAATGTGCTCAGTGTTTCTACTTTGTTCCACTGTTCATGTTTATAGTTTTTCTGCTTCATTGGTTCAGGCTTCACACTGTGTGTGTGTGTGTGTGTGTGTGTGTGTGTGTGTGTGTGTATGTGTGTAGTCTGCAGTCAGTCAGGACATGAGCTCATAGACAAACAGCAGCAGAAACAACCAGCCTCTATTCCACCTAAACACCACCACGGCCCTCTGCAGTGCTGGGGCCCCTGACGAGTCTGGGGGGTCCTACAGTAAAACAAGAACTGGTCCAGTCACACTGTTAGGTTATGATTTGTTTCCATTCAGCCTCAGTTTGTGTCTCATGTGTAATGAGTACATCAGAAGGTTGTTTAACAACATTTATCACAATCGTTCAAGTTTGAGACAAAGACCGTAAAGCAGAGCACTGTGGAGGCATTTTCAGTGTGGGACTTTCTGTTTAAGCAGCTGTCACGTCAATATTGATTTTGAACAAACTAGTTGGTATGTTAGGTATTCGTGAAAAGAAAGTCAGTTTGCTGACACTCATCTCTGCACGTTGTAGTCTATTGTTGAGAGGTTCCATTTGTAACTTGGTCTGGTGATGTCAGGCTGTCATGACCCTCCACCTCAAACTGAATGTTTAACGTCAACCAAACTGACAGAAATCCAACCAAAATCTAAAGTTAAGGAAAACCAGTTCAGGTCACTACCATGATATTCTGCAGCTGAAGGAAATAGACCCCACAACCCCTGTGTGTGTGTGTGTGTGTGTGTGTGTGTGTGTGTGTGTGTGAATAAGGTTATTGTTAGTGCAGAGCTGAGTGGACTTAAACAGCTCAGATCAGCTCACAAACACAACGAAACAAATCCTCCGAAGAATCCCTCACACACTTTCACTCCCTGTTTCCACAGCTGTCAATCACTGTCATTGTTGCACAGGATTTAACCTCTGACTGGTCAAGGTCACAAGATTTAAACACACACACACACACACACACACACACACACACACACACACTTGTATGACTTTTCTGTGAGTAATCAGCTCAACCTGCAGCTCCTCTCAGCTTTATGGTGAGTTTCAGCTCATTGTTTATCTGTTCAGCCACAACTTTACTTTTCTGGTTCACTCTCAGCACCCTCATAGTGTTGTTTTCAGAGAAGACGCTGTAAAAAGACACTGAACTTCACCTGCTCAGCAGCAAACAGCAAACTGACACAGTTAAAGACTGTCAAGTTCAACATGATGAGGTTTTTATCAGCTGTTATGTTCAGTCCCAGCAGGATTTCACCGCCTTTTTTGGGATTGTTGTGGCCTAAAATGTCATCAAGGCATTTTTGTTGGTAAACGTGAGACATTTGTGTCGCACATGCATCTTCACAACTACAAACAAGGAAGTGAGTTTGGTGACATCATGCGGACGAGACGATGTGATGACTTGTCAAATTTGCAGAAAAGTTGCGGTGACTGGACAAAATACAAGTTTGCACAGAAATTTAGCATAGCGTTAGTTCAGGCAGGACACAATGTCAAGCTCAGCTCACACCCCGGCTATATCAGCTGATCTCAAGCAGCTAAATCAACTGATCTATCAGCTGACTGATGGAAGGGAGTCAGCTGATAGATCACACCATTCCTTTCTATGCAACCAATTGGCAAATCTCATTCAGGGCGTATTCCTGATGGCGTATTCCTTGTCATTAATGCTGCTCTGTTCTGTTCCAGGGGGTCTTTGCTGCTGCTCTCTCTGCCTCAGGCTTTCCATGTAGGCGCATGGAAGGGCAGGGAGTTGTGCTCTCTCTGCCTCAGGCTTTCCATGTTTGAAGGTGGAAGGACAGAGAAGTGTGCTCTCTCTCTACCTTAGCCTTTCCACGTAGGCACGTGGAAGGGCAGAGAGGTGTGCTCTCTCTGCCTTAGGCTTTCTGCATAGGCCCGAGGAAAAGGCAGAGAGGCCCCAGAACAGAGCCATACCACCAAATATAATACTGCAAATAGAAATAACATTTTCTTTAACTTAAGTGGTCCTGACTGAATTCACAGCTGCCAGATAAATTAGCATTAATTGTTGCAATCGACACATCAGAAATTAACCCTGCACTAAATCTCGCCTCTGCACGCAGACTGGCCAATCAAGACGTAGCATCAGGCTGGCTCAGACCAGGGTCCGACACCAACACAGCTGTGCTCCATTGACTCTAATGCAGTTTTTTCAGATTTCCTTCATTTTCAGGCTGGTTTTGTGGATTTGGAGCTAAATGTTGTGTCTGGGGCACGTCGTGTATTAATGATACTCGTTACCTGGAGAGGTTGGAAAAAGATGTACGTTTCTTCCCTGTTCCAAAACCAAAATCAAACCCTGAAAAGTGTAGGGTTAGCTAGCTAGCTACTGAAGATATAGCCTACTGAATGTATACACATGCTGCTTTTGCTTTTAATGATTATAACAGTGAACCAAGTCAGACACTGCTGTACAGGAACCAGTGAAGGGAAGCAGGGAAACGTTGCTGATATTCAACCAGCTGTGGTTCAATATCAGCAAAGTTTCCCTTTATATTCTTTGTCTTATGTGGCGATCAGCAGTGATGTGGTGGTTCACTTTTACACTGTGATCTGTAGCCTACAGTTGGGCTTTAGCTTCTAACTATCTTCGTCTTTTTAACCTGTTGTTGCTGCTGAGTCAGTTTGACATCCTGGATATATCCTTCAAACACAGACTATAGACCCCTCTGTCTGCTTTTCTCTGGAATCACTCTTTCATTTTTCCAAAAATATGATAATATATCTTCAGGGAGTGCAGTTAGTTAGAGTGTGGGCTCCATGCTTACTCTGGCAGCTTGCTGGAGCATCACAGAGCTTAGCAAAAGGTCAATTGCTGAAGGGGCTGACTGATGTCTTTTTTCCTTTCTTCAATAATAACTATTTTAACAAAGATAAAAACCATGTAAAAAGGAACTTGTTCCTATATAAATCTGCTCACACTTTAATGGTGAGCCTCCAGTTTCTTTTACCAATGACTGCTGATGTCTTCTGTTTTTCTGTCTCTTCAGCTGTCAGTCTGGTTCAACTGTTGTGCAGCACTTTATTCTCCATTTATGAACCAAAACTTTCATACTTAGTAACATTTTTTTTGTAATGATGACAACCTAAAAGCATCATAGACTCATTTTTTCTGCTGACAAAATCGTCACTTATTTAAAGTTAGTTTCAGAAGTTCTTCCAGCTCTGCAGTCAGGAGCTACTTTTAGCTTCAAAATGTTTGGTGAATGTCGTCCTCTGAAACCCAAACCAGGGTTGCATCATCAGCCTGACATCCTCTAATGTTCTGTTATGAAACTGTTCAGCAGCAGCAGCAGCAGGAGAAGAAGAAGCTCTCTGCTCATACCAAGAAAAAGGCCAAAAAAGAAGAATAGAAGAAAGTGAAGGAGTGAAAGAGAGAGAGAGAAAGACTCCTGTACTAATACTCTGTCTCTCCCAGTGTGGACTGATGGACCAGATCCCTGCTAAACATTTTGTTTGGAGTGGAGCCCAGTCCTGCACACTGCTTTCAATTATCTCTCTACCTCCCTCTCTCCCGCTCTGTCTCACTTTCTGCTCAGACACACTGTTGCTCGCTCGCTCACACACACTCAGGAGTGTTTGGGAAAAAAACAAGAGTGCGGAGCAAGAGGGGGAAGCGTCTGGTCGTTTTCTTCTTCCTTCCTTCCCTCCTTTCTTTCCTGCGACGCTCGTTTTCACTCCACCACAGAGAGAGGGAGGCGGGTGAGGGAGAGTTAGAGAGGTTTGGGGAATTCGGACGATGCAACACGCTCAGAAACTCTGACTGCAACGCTCAACATGCTGCAGCCTCGGCTCTCCTTTTTTCTGTCCTCTGTCCTCATCGTCTTCGTCTCTTCTCTGCCAGCTGATGGACAGACAGTCTCAGGAGGAGCAGGAGGAGCAGGGGGAGGGGTGGAGAGGATCCAGGTGATGTTCACACCCACCATCTGCAAGGTGCGCTGCAGCCAGGACAGATGTGTCAACTACTGCGAGCGAGGCAACGTGACCACGCTGTACAGCAGCAGTGAGGGTGGAGGAGGAGGTGTAGGAGGAGGAGGAAGGAGAGACAGCTCCCATGGACCGGGCTTCAGAGTCTGTAAGTTGAACTTTTTACCATCCACTCTCTCTGTCTGTGTAGCTGCGGTGTTTTCATGTGACTCTCAGGTGGTGTATCCAGGTAGTATTGTGATGGGGAGGTTGTGCACATGATTAAATCTGAAATCTATGAGTGTGACATAAAGCTGGAAGAGACAAACTCTCAGTTTTGTTCTATTAAATCATATTTGAAATAAACCCCTTTAAGATATCAGCTGATATTTAATGCAAACTCCAATATGTACAATATATGTATTAAAAATTAAAGAGCTGGAGAGTTTTAGACATAGTAGTTCTGTGCAGGAATGTGCAGAAGTTCATAGTATGAAGTAGGGGTGGGAATCACCAGAGGACCCATGATATGATATTATCATGATACTTAGGTCACAATACGATATTATCGCAATTTATTACCTGTTTTATCCAACTGCAAATTATTTCCACAAAGGAAAACTTTGTCAACATCAGTTTTACCTCATAAGATAAAGTTTTAAGTCTGTTAATCGACTTTAATCATTATAATCGCAGTGAAATATGATGCAAAGCAGACAGACTGACTAACACTGTCATAACACCTGTCAGAAATGCTGCATACACCTGACAAACTGAGCTGTGGGCAGATTTAACTCCCTCGGAGAGGACAGATTAAGCTCATGAGCGAAACACTTTACATGCAGGTATCCTGCTAGCGTTGTCTGTTCCGTTCTTGTGCTGCATTTTGCAGGATGTCTGCAGTGTTTGCTCTGGTGTGACTTTCGTGACTTTCGTCAGATAATGTGCCATTATAGTCACATATGAACTGACCTTGAAGTCAAGGCATCACAGGTTGACGCCACCCTTCCTGCTGCACTCAAAGATTCCTCAGCTTTATGCTTCCCTTCTCTGTAGAGCTTGGGTAAGGCTGTATCGGTGGAAAAACGATGCAACGGAATCACATACCTGGGTCACATGTTCTTGGCATGTAACAAAAGCCTTGGTTTTCAACAGCGCTGTAAGGATGCAGATCTTTGCAGATGAAGTAGGTGGTGGACTGTGTTATTTTCTTAGCTCTCTCAGAGTTTGATGCTAGTTTTGTCGTGCTAAGTGTGTCTTGTGTTGGTTGATTTTTCGGCAGAGCGAGTTTAGTATTAGCTTGGCCAATAGCGGCTAAAACTATCTCTGGATAGTGGTGTGTCTTTACAGCTGAGAGGTTGCTTATCTATTAGCTGAATCCTGCCTCAGAGACAGCACTTCTCTAACAGGCTTTCACATGTACAGACTCAAGCTGGGGCAGTGACAGACTATGTCCTACAACTACTAGAATGCACTGTGCTGCACCAGACCAATAAATGCTCCCACTGTTGGGTGACATAATGCAAACATGACTATTTGAAACAATGGCGGATGGCTGGAAAGAAACAACCTTGATCTCTTACAGTTAAACAGTTAACTAAAATTTCTTCCTGTTAACATTTGATATGCAACCCTGTAACAGAATCTAGGTTTATATTTGATCAGTGCTGCCTAGTTTTACCGTTTGATTTATATTTTCTGTTTCCATACTGTTTTTCGCTGAGCAGAAAACAGTATGGCACCCACTCCCTGTTCACAAACTGTCACTATTACAGATAAACATGGCACTAAAATATGTTTCTAAAAACTTTTTAAGTAGGTGATAGGCAGTGCAGTAACATAATATTGATATATAAGTTTACCACAGTTCATTCACACATACTACCCACAATGTTTTGATACAAAGCTAGTTGAAAGTCGGCAAAGTACCCTTTTAAGGAGAAAACGTAAGGTGTTTTGTGGTAAGCTGAAGACCACAGAAATCTCAATTTATGAGGTCACATGTGTAATGTGTGAAGCTGCTCCAGCTGCGATCATGTGACCTGCAGCTGTTTGATGGTTGGCCCGAGCTCAACATCTGAAGCAGAGCCAGTGAATAGTTGAGTTGTCTGAACTGATTGCAGGTCAGATTTATTTTGACTCATCTTCTTTCATTTCTGTAAAAATCAGCTGGTGGAGACTTGAAACAGAAAGGAGATCCATCCCGGTCAACATGTATTCAGCTCAAATTAAGATGAGTTGCACATTTTATAATTGTGCATAAAATAAACCTCCCAGGAGAAGCTGTAAACTGAAGAAAATACCTCATCTCATTGTGTCCTCTTCTCCTTCTGCAGTGGTTTAATGGCACCGCCTGCAGATTTAGCTCCACCAGCTATTCTTCTCCATCAACTAGAAGAGTGCATTCATTTGTGCTTTTCTTTGTCATTGATTTTCTGGTTACTTGGTGTAAAACTTTGTGCTGCATTTGAATGTGAAATTGGACTAAAGAGAAACAGAGAGGAGCAGGAGAGGGAGGAGGAACACCACTGACATATGGCTTTCATTTATCATTAACTTAACCCCCTTCTCACACACACACACTCTGCAGCAGAGGACAGGGAGGAGGTGATGACATCATAGGGTCAGAAGGTCAATCCCCTGGTCCCCCGTCAGCCTCTTATTTTTCTTTCTATGAATTAACTTTATTGGCACATCTTTACCTGCTGATGCATGTTGACACAACCTGTCCTCCATCTGCTGGGAAATCCCAAATCATTTCTGTTTTAATTCCACTGTGAAATCACTCCTGCGACTCACCATTTCTTCTTTGGCACTGTCTCTTCTCCTCCTCCTCTGTTACTTATTCTTTTCAATCATGACCTCCATTTCCCGTTTTCCTCTCTTTCATTCGCTAAATCCCTCTGTTTTTTTAGCAACCAATGGAGACCTTTCCAGCAGCATTTAGGCCACCAGACATGGGTGTTTTTTAGCAACCCATTGCTGCATTTCAAGCAGCTCTGTGCCACTGAACATAAATGTTTTTTACCGACCTGTAGCCACCTTTCCACTGGCTTTTGTGACGCAGAATGTGGATGATTTTTAGCGACCCCTAGCTGTGTTTCTAGCAGTGTTTTAGTCACCAAACATGGGTGTTTTCAGCTACCTGCCGCAACCTTTCCAGTGGCATTTGTATCAGTGAATGTGGGTGTTTTTTTGTGACCAGTGGCCACATAGTGTTAGTGTTTTTGGGCACCCTCATTTGCAGCAGCATTTGTACAACTGAACATTGTTATTTTTTAGCGAACAGTGGCCGTCTTTCCACCGGCTTTTGTGCCACCGAAGGTTGATGATTTTTTTGTGACCCTGCCGCTGAAAGTGGATGGTTTTTGGGTGGCAAGCCGCTGCATTTCTAGTGACGTTTGTGCCACTGAACATAAGTGTTTTTTAGTGACCTGTCACTGCGTTTCAAGCGGCCCTTGTACCCCTGAACATGAGTGTTTTTTTTAGTGACCTGTAGCTACATTTCCAGTAGCGTTTTTGCTACCAAACATGGGTGTTTTTCAGCGACGCATCACCTGTTGTTTTGTGGCTGCATAGTGTTGGTGTTCTTTTGGCACCCATCGCCACCCTTCTAGCAGCTTTGGGTCACCAAATGTGGGTGTTTCTTTGTGACTGGTGGAAGCATAGTGTTAGTGTTTTTGGGCATCCATCTCCTCATTTGCAGGGGATGTTTGTGCTACTAAACATGGGTGTTTTAAAGCGAACTGTGGCCACGTTTCCACTGGCTTTTGTGCCATCGAACTTGGATGATTTGCAGCTACCCGTTGCTGCATTTCCAGTGGCGTTTTTGCTGCTGATTTTGGGTGTTTTTTGGGTGATCAATGGTCACATTTTTAGCGGCATTTGTGCCACTGAAGGTAAGTGTTTGTTAGTGACCAGTGGCCGCCTTTCCAGCTGCATTTGTACCACTGAATATGGGTGTTTTTTAGAAAGCTGTCAAGTTTCAAGCACCTTCTGTGCCACCAAATGTAAGTATTTATAAGCAATTTGTCGACTTATGTGGATGTTTTTTCTCCTGTCACCGAGTTTTCAGTGGATTTTGTGCCAGCGAACAAGGGTTTTGTTGTTTTGTTTTTAGCAACCCGATGCTGCAGAGCAAAGATATATACAGCCTGCTAGCATGACTGTAGCCTGGTTGTACTAACAACGTCTTCAATTAAAAAATTTCACCAACTCTGTGGCTCTGCTTTTTAGCTTCTTGTACCTTCTCAGAAGGGTTTCTGTAGGTTGAATTTTATACCTTCTAAAACCTGTTTAATACCAGTTTAATATCTGTTTCACAATCGTTTTGTCATTTTAGATGGAAAACCAGTCGGCCAGTATAGCATAGTTTGTCTGCACTCCCCAGCAGTGTGTAACTCTAATTTTTAATCATATAATTAGTTACATTAATGCAGTCTAGATCCCATTTAGCATTATTTGTTTATTTAACTTTTGCTAATGCTTCCTAGCTGCAGAAGTAAACAGTAGGTACAATGTTTAACTGAAATGGGCTCCTACAATCAACCGACACAACAACCCTACTGTAAGTTTAGATGTGTTGAACATCTCTTGACAAAAACATTTCATAACCAACATTACTGCTCACAGCAGCCAAGAGAAAAGAAAGATGTTTGTTCATTACATTTAAGACTCTTTGATACCTTCTAAGGGCTGAACATATCCTGCTGGTTGTGGTTTTGCAGCTTTGCTTTTGTTTTCATCAAACTGGCTCTGATAAAATGTCAGATGTTGCAGTGTGAGCCATAGAGTTGTCAGATCAGAACAAATCATTCCACAGTTTGACGTGTTTCTTTCTGTGTATTCTTTCTTTCTTTTCATAAATGTTTATATAATTTCATCCCTTTAATCTCTCCTTGTTTATGCCTGAACACTCCTTTTTTCCATCCGTCTGTTTTTGTCTATTTTGCCACAGTTATCTCCAAAAAAACCTCCTACCAATTCTGTGTGTGTGTGTGTGTGTGTGTGTGTGTGTGTGTGTGTGTTGATGGAGTCCATCTGTGGGGCGATGTCCAGGATAATAATTAGGTCACAGTGTTTACACCAACACACACATGCAGAATCTCAGTGTGTGTTGAAAAACTTGTAAACAAATATTTTGCACACAAGATGACACGCACACACACTTGGAAAAGGGTGTGGACATGAACTCACACACACACACACACACACACATAGTTGGGCACATGCAAACACTTTAACAATAGCCAGCAGAGACAGATTAACACATATAATACCAGGAAGAGGAGCTCAGATCCTCCACTTAGTATAAAGCACCAATACTACAATTTTGAACTACTTAAAGACTTACTTCAGTATTTTTCAACCTGGACCCAGTTTCTCCATGTTTTTGGGTCTAAGTGATTGATGGGAACAACATTTTTTGACATTGGATCAGTATTGAGATAGAGTGCTGCAGCCAGCAACCACGTGAACAGGCTGCAGTGTAACCACTCGGGTTGTGTTTGCACCGTCGGTGTACGTCCACTAAAAGTGTTTTTGCCACTGACATGCTGAGATTGTTATTATGAGTGTCTGTAGGGATCCTTTCCATAAAATGTCAGAGATAAACCTTTTTGTTTAAGAGTGGGATCCTTTTTCTTTCACCAGAAATCAGCACTGACATTGCCATTGCTAAACACACCAAAGTCCTTGTAAATAGACAGTAATTTAAGCGTGTATAGAGCCAGCATATTTTCACATCTAACTGGGTAAATTAAGCTTTTATTCCAATCAGACAAACCAAGACAGCTTTTGTGAGTGTTTAAGTGTTTCTGGTGACTTTGAATGCAGTGTGTTTTACAATTATAAAATTACTGTTTATTTAAATGGAGTCTGGTGTGGTTGCTGATGGCACTTTCGGGGCTGGTACTGTTCAAAGAAAAAGGATCTAATGCTTTATCCAAACAGTGTTAGATTGTTTAGCCACTGGTGAAAATGCTGTGAGTATCCAAGGACCTGTAGTTCTTGAGGTTGTAAATCCTTGTGTGATAACACTATAGCACAACAGGCTAATGGTGCTGAGTAACGTTAGTGCTGCTATAAGTCTTGAAACGTGTATTAGAGTAAATAAAACATGCTAGTCTATAACATCATTACATTCATGGCTGTAGGGTACTGATGTTATGCGAATTTCAATTAATCACATCTATTGTAAATGTAATGGTGTCTCTAATGTGGGTTTAAATACCGCACTTTGCAGAATTTACAGGCTGGAGGAAAGGAGTGTTTTCCCTCTCGTCATCTCCGCCCTCACCACGCCCCCTAACTATGACCAGACAACAACTGTATTTATTATCACTGTTAATCATAGCTGCAAATGAACTGTGCAACCATGCTAGCAGCTAGCGTTAGAGTTATCTCCACCCTCTCGTCCAATTATGGTCACTTGTGGCTCCAGGAAACTAAGATAGTTGTGGCCAGGATGCCAAACTGAAGGTTTTAGAACAGGAGTCCAGAAACCAGTGGGTGACATCATAGTGGCTACGTCCATTATTTTATCCAGTCTATGGTGTGGATGTATCAAGAGACCTGGATACAGCATTGTTGGAGGTGGGCTCCTGTTCATTCCTATAAAAGCTGCTCAGTGGCACATGAAGCCAAAAAGCTTGTGAAAAATGGGTCCAATATTTACTTCAGTGACTATGGGGCAAAGGAAACAGTCTTAATCTGCACTCACGTTCACTTTTCTCATTGGAATGAATGGACTCAGGGCCGCAGCTAGTCACCTAAAGGGGCAGGGCAGTGGCGGAACCCACATGACATAGAAACAGGAGATAAATCTAAAGTGGGCCGTCTCCATTTATCAACTGTCTCTGGTTCCACTTTTGACCACTATGTAAAATTGGCTTCAAAGCCCAGCGCTCTTCCTTGGGGCTTGGAGGAAATGCAGTTTTGGCCTGTCTTTCAGCCCCAGAGGTAATAATCTGAGCCTGTCAGTGGCAAAAACAAACTATTTTCGTATAATTTACTGTGCAAACATACCATCGCAGTTTGTTTTGTTGCTGCCAGCTGCTGCCCTTTTGCTCAATACAGGAACAATTTCAAAAACTGTTGCTCCCACTAGACACAAAACCATGTGAACATACAGTCTAGGTAAAACAAAATACTGATGTGACCCTTTGAAATCAAACCTTTGCATCACCAAATGAATAATAATCACAGTATATCTACATGTATGTAGTATTTCTAACTGGTTGTTGAGCTGCTGATAGAGATCACAGCAAGAGAAGAACCCCGTGTCAAAGAGGCAGGCTTCCTTCCTGCCACGCAGACTTCTGGGTATTATCGGCTCATTAGTAGCAGCTTCAACAGCAGCTGAACTCTGGGTAACAATACACCAACATCCTGTAGCACGCACTCAAACAGGAAGTAGGAAAGTGGCTGGCTGGCTCTACTGGCGCTCCCGTCCACTCTCACCTCCATCGCATCAGGGCAGCAGGCTTTGTTTTACATCCATACATCACCTGACCTCACCCAGTGGTCTCCTAGCAACAGAGAGGGGAGGAGCCACACCCACCACTTCTACCAGAAAGCATCTATGTAACAACCGGAGAGTAAACAGTAGAGAGTGTTGCGAAACAGACAGCGAGTGTTTCCAGGCCAACAGTAAACATGATGGATGTGTGTTAGTGTTGCCCTTAGACCTGTGTGTGTGTGTGTGTGTGTGTGTGTGTGTGTGTGTGTGTGTGTGTGTGTGTGTTTACGCCTGGTACTAACTGGTAAGAATGTGAATTTTGATTTTAGCATTTGACTGTGAGCATGTTAACCTTTAGCGCCCGACTGACACACTTTATTGAAAATTAGATCTAAAAGTTGCTACAACACTTCGGTACAGTATTTGAGTAAATGACCAGGCTCCCTGGTGAAAGTCCCATCTAGCACCCCTCCCACAGCTGGCAGAGCTTCATACCTCCGTGAAAGGTGCCTTTTTGTTCTGGTGTCTGATGCCAAAATCACTGACAAAGTGGCAGTATTTGATGAGTTGAGAATGAGAACGGCTGGTCCCCCTCAGTGTTTAGAACTGTGCATTTGAGCTCTACTCCTGATAAAAAACAGAGGACTTATATTTCAATGAACTGCTAGGATGTGACTCAAAGATGCAACAATGCCTCTGGAAAAGAAAGTGGGAGCATCTTTGAAAGTATCTGCATAAAACAGAAAGAAGAAGGAGCAACTATGCACGGTTGAAGCAGGACGTACAGTACCATGACATTTCCACCATATATTTATGCAGAAAAGGAATAAATCAGTGCATACAAATTCACCAGAATGACTCAAACATATAAACCATTAAACAAAGATGTCTGTCTTTGTTGTGTCTCCTGCAGTCCTCTGTCCTCTGCTCTGTAAGAACGGAGGCATCTGCCTGCAGAAGGACCGCTGTCTCTGCCCGCCAAACTTCACTGGGAAGTTTTGCCAAATCCCTGTTGCCCCCACAGCCGTCGATGCAGCTGCAGCTGCAGCTGCATCTGCATCTGCATCTGCATCCGCCTCCTCCACCTCCACCAATGAGATCGTCAAACCTGTGCCGCTCTCTGCCATGGCAGCCAATCAGGAGCTGACCCAGTCTGAGTTCCTGCTGCCGCTGGGACAACACCAGGAGACGGGAAGGGCTGGTGGTGAGTCTGAACTCCGGCTCAAATGTTCCTGTGGTTGTTTGGATTGAAACACAGAGAAACTTGAACATGAAAAGGGTTTTTTCTTTGTTTATTTAACAGCGAAAAAGTGTCATCAATCTGAACGTCTGATGCACAGAAAGAAAATCAACTGTTATTTTATTAAGCAAAATCTCAGTGCTGTGGTAGTGTCTGAAACATTATTATCATGTTAAAAGTTTGTGTGTGTGTGTGTGTGTCTGTATGTGCATGCAGCTCCCGGCCCATCCATGGTGAAGGTCAGAGTGCAGCACCCCCCTGAGGCCAGCGTGAAGATCCACCAAGTGCGGAAGGTAATGAAAACAAACAGCACTGAAGTTTTACTTTGACAGTGTTTCATATGGTCAGTTTTCCTCTTCTGGTTCCAGGTGTCTGGATTCAGCCCCACACTGCGGACTCTCTCCTCCTTGTCCTCGGGGTCAGCGGGGGCTCCGGCTCCGGCTCCAGCAGGTGGGGGGGTCCAGGCCCAAACAGTGAGAGGGGACGGCACCTTCACCCAGCACTCTGGGTTCAAGTACTGCTTCAGAGAGGTTAAAGACGGACAGGTGAGAAGGAGCGGGAGGACTCACATTTGGTTCCAACATCTGTTCTCTGTTCAGGAAGCCAGAGTAAAGTCAAGCCAGCGCCCCCTAGAGGCTATGAATACTGCATTTTGGTGGCATAATCCCAGCCAGAAACGCAGCGATGACTCTGTAAAAAACATTCCGTGTTTTGTGGCACTGCCCTGGCTGGAAAACCAGCAACGGGGTAATACAAAAAAAACAAACAAACAAACAAAAAAGTGCTGGAAACACAGTGATGAGGAAAAAAACCCAAAACAACCAGCACGAAATTTTCTTGAAAATATTAAGACAATGTGCAGGTAGTATTGAGGATGGCGCCAGAGAGCTGGTCCCAAAAATCATCAGTATTCATGCTTTTGGGGATTAATTCCAAATCTGGTCATTATTTTTCCAAAATATTTTGAGCTAAATATCATTCACCAAAATTAAACATATGCCAGCCAGCAAGATTCTGTCAGTGTTGGACTGAAGAACATCTCACCCAGCCAGACCTCTGTGCTGTCAGCTTGTAGTTTTGCAACATACCTGTGATAACTTTAGTGACCCTGAAAGTATTTACAAAGACTTGATGACAATCCATCAAATAGTTGTTGAGATAAATTTAGCCTGTGTTGGACCAACACTTCCATCCTCAGACTCATGCCAGAAAAAATAGTTCTGTGTCACAGAATTAAGGCTAAGCAAGGTACTAGAGATGTCTCTCTCCCTAGCAACATTTTCCACCTCCTGCTGGGGGACCCCGAGTTGTTCCCAGGTCAGATGAGATATGTGATCCTTCCAGTGTGTTCTGGGTCTGCCCTTGGGCCTCCTACTTCCTGGAAAACTTCTAATGGGAGGCACAGAGGAGGATCCTGATCAGATGCCTGAACCACTTCCACTCCCTCTTGATGCAAAGGAGCAGTGGCTCTACTCCGAGCTCCCTCCAGATGTCTGAGCTCCTCACCCTATCTCTAAGGCTGAGCCCAGACACTCTACAGAGGAAACTTATTTCAGCAGCTTAGACCTGCAACCTCATTCTTTCAGTCACTACCCAGAGCTTGTGACCATAGGTGAGGGTTGGGATATAGATGGACCAGTGAATTGAAAGCTTTGCCTTCTGGCTCAGCTCCCTCTCAACCATGACAGTCCAGTACACCGTCCGCTTTACTGCTGACATCAACTCAAACCGCCGATCCATCTCACACACCATTTCACCCTCACTCGAGAACAAGACCCAGAGATACTTGAACTCCTTTGCTTGGGGCAGAAACTCTCTCCCAACCCAGAGGAGGCAACTGAGAACCAGACTTAGACTTGGAGGTGCTGACTCTCATCCCGACCGCTTCACACTCAGCTGCAAACCGCCCCAGTGCATGCTGGAGGTCACAGTGTGATGGAGCCGACAGAACCACATCATCTGCTAAGATGCAATTCTGAGTTCCCCAAACTGGACCCCATCCTCATCCAGCTGCTCCTTGAGATTCTGTCCATGAATACCACAAACAGCATTGGTGACGAGGGACATCCTGGCGGAGGCCAACACTCACGAGAGCACATTTGACTTTATGCTGAGTGAACGGCCGAAGGACCAGATGTCTTGAAGCAACGAACTGGCTACCCTGTATCACCTCAGTACCCCTCGAAGGACTCCTCAGGAGACACAGTCGAAAGCCTTCTCCACGTGAATATCCAAAGTACCTTTAGTTTTTGAGACAAAGTGTTGACTCTCTTCAGATGGTAACAAGAATTAACACTTCAAATATGTTTTAATTAAATAAAACATGTCTGTCTGATGGCGACTGGTTTACCGGCATGTAATAAAATATACTTTTTGTTTTTAATGAGCTTAAATTAGTGAAATATCGAACAGCGTGTGTTCTTTGTGAGATAATTAAATTTTTTTATGATAGTGCAGTATGAAGCCTTTTATGGTGAAAGTAAATGAGTGATTTATAGTTTATGATCCTGTAATGAGTTGTAACTACTAACTGAAGCCTGAGAAAAACTCCTCTCTGGTTCACATTAGCTCTCTGGCTGCAGACTCTCAGCGTGTTCGCACTTCTCTGTTTTCTGATAGAAAATCCCTGCTCGGCCATATTTCATGCCGATAATGAAACGCAGCCTTAGTTTCGGCTGCTGTAACTGCTGTCGCTCAGTCCTGATGTCCAACAGACTCCTCAAACTGCAAGAAACTACTGAAGCATCGGAACTTTCCTGTTCGGCAACGTACGATGTGCATCGTCGATGTCAGTTTTTTTTTTAGCTGTGTGCGCAGCACTGCTTTATGGGTAGTAAAGTTAGCTGGTTTTACCCAGACTGACACATCTCAGCAACTATTATTGGATGGATTGTGATAAGATGTGGTTCAGCATTCATGTTCCCCTCAAGATCAATTATAACAACTTTGGTGATCCTCTGACTTTTCATCTAGCGCCATCATCAGGTCAACATTTGAACCGGATACATGTAGAACTAATGACAATCATTTCAGCTGTCTTATCTTTAACTTTATCACTTCTAATTGTGTATATACAGTACAGTTAACGTGTTTGTGTGTGTGTGTGTGTGTGTGTGTGCAGTGCAGCTCTCCTCTACCTGGTCTGAGGAGCAAGGAAATGTGCTGCAGAGGGATCGGGAAGGCCTGGGGCATCTCTGATTGTGTCCTCTGTCCTGAGAATACAGGTACACACACACACACACACACACACACACACACATCAAGTACAAGCAATGGTGGAAAGAAAGTACATTTACGTAAGTGCTGCACTGAGGTACAATTTTAAGGTACTTGTACTTTACTGGAGTATATCCATTTTCAAAAATCAGATAAGAATTAGTGAAATAATTATAATGATATATCTGAAACATCATATTTGAATCATCAGAATAACAGTAAAACTATGCTGAAAAATTAGTCCAATATTAAAAAATTATCAGTACTGTCACAAAAATATTAGTCAGGTTTGTGAAAAGTATCAGTAAAATATAGGAAAAAAATAGTAAAATATCTAAAAGATATGTTAGTAAAATTGTAAAATATCTATAATAATATCTGGAAAGCATCCAAAAAATATATTAGTAAAATATCCAAAAAAAATATTATTAAAGTAGCAGTAAAAATTGAAAAATATCAGATAAAAATTAGCAAAATATCCATAATTAAATTTGTAAAACATTCTTAAAATAATAATAGAATAACCTTACAATTTTAGTAAAATATCCCCATTTTTCAAAAAAAAAAAAAAATAAATAAAACAGCAGAAAATTACAAATATATCTTAAAATTAAAAAGTAAAATATCAGAAAAATATCAGTAAAGTACGTTTAAAATATCAGTTAAACAAGGGAACAATATTAATAAAATATATTGTAAAAAATATTAATAAATTATCCAAAAAAAAGTAAAATAATGTAAAGAAATCTGAAAAAAAAACATTAGTCAAATATCTAAAGAATTATTAGTGAACTTCTAATTGAAATACTTCTGTAGATAAGTACAATTTTCACTTTATTTCTTTTAATTCTTTTTTCTGTATTTAACTTGTTTTATTTGATGCTACTTTATACTTCTACTTCACTACATCTCAGAGGTAAATATTGTACTTTTTCCTGCACTACATTTTTCTGACAGCTTAAGTGACCTTACAGATTATTAATACAAAACATAAATCAACTAATAGATGATGATGTATTATACAGATTAATCTACCCAGCAGTATAAACGCTATTAAAATGAGCTCCAGCTTCACCAGCTGCAGCATTTAAGCGATGAAAACATGAATGCATCATTAATTCTAATCCAATAATATATGTTAGTCTGAAATGGACCATTCTGCAGAGTGAGTACTTTTACTTTTCATACTTTAAGGAATATTTTTGTTGCCAAGACTTCTAAGGTAAATTTTGAAAGCAGGACATTAACTTGTAGCAGAGTATTAAAACTGTGTGGTATTTGTACTTTTATGTAAGTTAAGAGTCTGCTGAATACAGATACCTCAAACTATCAGTACCTGAGTAAAAGTACTCTCATGCACAGGATCTAAAGTTGACTTTGTTCGAAGTGTTCAAAGTACTGACACTGTTTTCCAAAAATACCACACTGTGATACTGATGTTGAGAGATTTGACCAAAAATAACAGAGCGCTGCCAACTTCCAACACACACACACACACACACACACACACACACACAGCACAAACACTGAGACACACACTGAGATATTTCTCCTTCTCTTACTGTGAAGGTCTGATACTTTATGACTGAAATATTTTGGAAATATTCCAACAGGAGCTGCTTACATAACTATCTGACATTATCACACACACACACACACGCACACACATGCACGCATGCACACACACACACACACACACACACACACACACAGTCAGTCAGTAATGATGCTTCCTCCATGTTCTTGCAGAGCTGACTAACAGTAAAGGAATGTTGCTCTGTGGGACTGTAGGACTTTAACACACACAAATCAAACATCTGCACGTGTGAGAGTGTGTGTGTGTGTGTGTGTGTGTACAGACACATAGGGAAATTGTGTTAGCTCACTTGCAGGGCGTCCAACTTCACATCAGTCTGTCAAATCAGAGAGAATGACGCAATACACCTTTAAAACCAAGCAGAGAGAGTCGAAGGAAAAAGAAAACAAGAAGCAAAGGAGAAACACACACACACACACACACTACTCTGGTGTTTCTGTTAAAACGTCTAAAAGATCAACAGAGTCTGGTCTTTGAGTTGTGTGTTTCTACAGCCTGATGTATCTTCTTCCTCAGTTGTTCTTAATAATTCACTTTATGTCACTGGATGACATGTTCCTCCATCACCATGAACACACACACACACACACACACACACACACACACACACACACAGGGGTTGTCACAATACTAGAATTTCTTACTTGATACCGATACCCAGAAAAATACTCAATATTTAAACAGTAAACTTACTGTAAGATATCAATGACTACAATATTTTTAGGTTCTTTCAGACACAAATAATTGGCAGGACTGATAACCTTGGCTGCCTAGCTCGCACGTTAACGTTAGTCATCTTATTATGACTAAGCTAACCCTTAACTTAATGATAGCATAACAGACGGCTAACGTGGCTGTTGGCTGATGACCAATAATAAAACGGCTAATGGTAATGTGTGCCACAGGCCAGGTTAACATTTATGCAGTGCTGGCGCGTGGCATAGGCAGTGAAGACAGTGTATACATAAACATATATTATATAGACAGGAAGTCAGTCAGTTTTTGTTGTTATTAATTAGTATTAATTAGTAATTGATTGTTAACTATCATCATCATCAGCTCAAGGCAACAACAGCTGTCCCGCTGGTTTTGAACGAACCAACGGAACGCATGGAACACACTGTGTCGGTGAGTTTCACACGCGCACACACCCACACACAGGAAGTAGGTCAGAGGTCACAGTATCTCAGGTAGCAGAGCAGGTCGTCAACAGATCGTTGGCAGATTAATATATATATGTATATGTGTATGTATCGATAGATAGATAGGTAGATTTGTTTAACTGTTACAGTGATAAAGCACAATAGACATTTGACAATAGATTACCTATTCAGCCTTTCAGTGCAGTAAAGTATAAAGAAGTATTTTGTCCTCATAAATTGATGCTCCAAATAGCTCTCAATGACAATCAAACATTACTTTAATTTTAACTTTCATTTATCACTTTTTATTTATTACAATAACACAGTCAAATGTAGTTTCTTACAGTTGCATCCCCCATGCTGTTTTCTGTCTCAATGACCTTTGACCTCACTTTGGCTGTTCTACCTGTTGTTGTTTACATGTCTAGCAGCCAACATTGTGATATGTTGTTCCATTTACAGCACTGGTTATCCGGATTTGGTAATCTTGGAAAATTTTTATCTGGATCAGGGTGATTTAATCCAATGTTGCTTTAAAAAATGGTATTTAAGTTGGATTAGTTGATCCTGGGTAGCAAAACATGGGATCTCAAAATCAGGATCATTCTGATCCAGATTAATGTTTGTTTTTTTCAACAAACGTGGATGTGATGTTTTTTTGGTGAGAAGCTGCCACTGAAGTTTCCTTTCAGTGTGAGAAAGTGTGTCCTTGTCCACTCATGTATCCCATATTCATATACATTTGTGTGTCTGTGTGCATGTGTGGGTGTGCGCACATATTAACTTGTGTGGTTGTGTGTGTGAATGTGTGGTTGTGTGTGTGAATGTGTGGTTGTGTGTGTGGTAATGTGTGTGTAGATGTGAATGAGTGCCTCCATCCGGGGCTGTGTGAGAATGGGCTCTGTGTGAACACCAGGGGGAGCTATAGCTGTGTGTGTAGGGCGGGGTTCATCCTCGACGCCACACATGGAATCTGCATCTGTGAGTAACACACACACAAACACACACACAAAGCCGCCGGCTTGGGAATGACATCAGGAATAATGCAGACTCCAGGTCCGAACTTCCTAAATCCATCTGAGCTCATAGTATCGCTAAAATCTGGACAACTGTTGATATTCAAAAGAAACATCTGAGCACCCAATACTGGCTGATTTATATTCAAATATAAACAAACTCTGTGAGGACCCCCCCGATTTAAAAAATGTTAAAGCTAAATACTGAGACATTTTATAGTGTAAAGATCATCTTTGCTCTGTAAAGGACAAACTCTTGTTCTGTCAGATGTGTCTGGTCCCCCTCAGCTTTGGGCGGATTTCCATTGGCCTGAGACATGTTGGGGGGTGTTTAAGAGGAAGACTGTGGAGTGACGAGGCATTTTCTGGTGTGACTTGGAGTTGGTTGATTGGGGCACAACTTTTTTAGATCCATCTGCGTCTCTGAAGGATTTTGCTCCTGATTCCATTTATCTGCTGCTGTTGATGATTTTGTCTGACAGATCGGCTTGTTTTTCCTTCCCATTCCCATTTTCTAAGAGCTGGTAAATCCTGATGATTTTTCATAACTTTTTGTCAAAGTCAATCCTAGATCAATCTCGGAGCCCATTGGCAAGCAACAAGAAAACAGCATGTTTGAAGAATAGCGACCCACCAATGTCACTGTAACTAAGTACATTTACTCATGCACATTACTTGAGTACAAAGTTGAGATTCATGTTCTTTACTTTACATTGTGTTTTACCAAAAGTCAGCAGAGTTCATGAATCTCTTTGTTCTCCTGAAGGTCAACAGACGTCTTTGTGTGAAAGTCAGTGAGTCTCGTTGTTCCATCGAAAGTCAATGGGTTCTTTGTTCTGTTCAAAGTCAGAAGAACTCTTTGTTCTGCTAAAATTCAGTGAAATATGGGTGAAGTTTGGTGCTCAGATGGGTTTTGTGAAGCCAGACTGGTGTTCTGCTTATTCCGACCGGCATTTGCTGAAGAGGAGGAGGAGGTAGAGGAGGAGGAGGAGGAGTGGGTTTGCTGCAGGATGCTGGTAATCAACGCTCTAATCAAAGCTGATTTATTAAACCTGACAACATCTTGTCTCTCTGTTGCTTCCGAACTGGCTGGAAATGCTCATGGAGGGGTGTGTATTATATATATCTATGTGTGTGTGTGTTTGGTCATTGACGGTCAGGTGTGTTTTTGTGACTTTTGTGATGGATATTTGTTGGTTTTTCTCTCCTCTTTGTCGAAATTTGTCTCCTAGAAATTACAAAATGTGCTTTATTCTCAAATTGTCAAAGTATGTAAATGGTTATCACTAAAAGTGCACTCTTTCAATATTTAACTGAGATCATGATCTTCCTCTAACTCTGACTTTGAAGTTTAACCAGGTTTGAGTTGTTTAAGGTCGATATTAAAAGAAAACTAATGTGTTCAGGGGATAGGATTTGTACAAACATTTTGCGACAAGACAAAAATACCTCAATAAATCAAAATTGTTATTCCTTTTGATTTCCCAGAAAAAACAAATGAAATTTGGTATTAACTTTAGAGAAAATAAGAACGTGCTCTGAAATAAAAGCTCCATTTAAACCAAATTACAAAAACCACTTGATTAGTAATAGATCATGTTTTGGCTTAATATATGATTTTGTGGGCACAATCTCTGCTGGAAAAGCAGTGATGTCTCCGTAACAAAGACCGCTTTTTGTGCCTAAAAAGCTGCTGGAAACACAGCAATGGCTCGGTAAAAAACGGCTGGTGTTGTTCTTTGTTGGCTCCAAAGAGTGGTCTGCAGCTTGGCAGAAGTGTTACCTCAGTATCACGCCATCCACCATCCCCTTCACTTCCTGATGACGGTCAGCTTACTTTGGAAACTTTGATATGATACATATGCAACGTGCAAATGTATCTGGAACGTACAATGCCAACATTTTCCTCTGGCGACTGTGTTGCCAAAACATTTCCTATTGATATTAATAAAAAAATGTCATAATTTTCTTTCGCAGATTTAGAGTTTTATGAATGTAATTTCTAGGAGACAGGGTTGCTCTGTCTGTCCAGGCTGGCCTGATCAAACTCTGGACTCTGACCTTTATTTGGCTGTTTGTTTGAGATTGTGCTCAGTTGTTTGTTGCTTGTCCTCTCAATGAGGAAAACTGTCCGACTGTCTGTCTGTGTCTTTTTCCTTTTTGTTTTCAAATAGCTGATTACCAGGTCCCCCGAAAGACTTGTTTCAGCTGACCTCCAGAGACTCGTGATATTTGATGATGGACCAAACATTAAAATTTGAACTGATATCAAACAGGATGTCATCTACTCTCAGCTTGATGACTTGATATTCAGACACATGCAGACCCTGGATTCTTAACTTATGTGAAAAGTTTAAACACCTTTACTTTTTGCTTCATGGACAAATTCTCTGTTTCTGTTCTTGCATCATTGTTCTTGCTCCTCATATCCAATCAAGCCACCGGGAAGTTTGTATGGCTGTGATGTCAGAGCTTGCTTGATGTGTGTCGAGTCTCCATCAGGGCTGTTTGAATGTTGACTCTAATGGAACAGCATGTACTGATTCTGCATGCAGTGCTCTACTGGTGCCTCCGGCTTGAAGTCTGTTTAAACTCCCAGACCAGCTTTGTGTCCAGTCCTTTGTGTAACGTGTCCCCTTTCCTCCTTCCATGTGTCCTCTGCAGCCCAGAGTGTGATATCAGAGGAGAAAGGTCAGTGTCACCGGGTCCTGGGTTTCGGCCAGGGTCCGTCCTCCTGCTCCTTGCCCATCCTCAGGAACATCACCAAGCAGATCTGCTGCTGCAGCCGAGTTGGCAAAGCCTGGGGACCCAACTGCCAGAGGTGTCCTTACTTTGGTTCAGGTTGGTTACCAGCGACCTGCTTCCTCTGGCTGCTAACCATTTACATGCTAATCAGCTAATAACATTAATATAACCTTTATTGAAAAGGGGAAGGATGCTCTGATTGTGGGCACATATATAACAATAGAAGCACACGCAAGTTACGGTATACATAAACAAGTCATACCACAAACAAGACAAGGACCTCAACATTAGGGTCAACATCTGTTCCAAGAAAGAACACACATTCAAGCTGCACTTAGTCAGTCAAAAGGAATTTAAATTGATTCAAAGGGATGAGCTAATTTTCTAGTTTTACAAGCTTCTGCAGATTGTTCCACTTTGTAGAGCATCATATTTAAGAGCCAGTTTCCCAGTTTCAGTTTTACCATGATGATTTTCAAAGGCCATATAGTCTAGGGACCTAGTGCAGTGTGAATTTGATCTGTAGTTAAAAAGATATGTAAGATACTCTGGTAGTTTGCAAAGATGTGCTTTGTAAACAAATATAATATAAAGCAGTGCCGCTCTCTTTTCACTGCCAACACCACCACTTAACTGTCTTATAAACAAGGATGCGTTCTTACAGCCATCCTTAGTTATGAACCTAAGAACGGAATGATAGACGGTTGTATTTAAAATGGCATCATCTGCATAGATTAATTGTACTGTTTTTAATTTTAACACCTAATTCATTTATAGAAATTGTAAATATAAGTAGTCCCAGAATATAACCTGGTGGCACACCTTTGTTAACAATCATAAAGCTGGACTGATTGCCATCAGCCACAACAGCTTGTGTTCTAACACTGTCATTTACAGGTAAATAATTTGTCATCAGTTCCAATTTGATGATCTACAATAACAAAAGCCCTATCAGTGAAAACGGGGACCGCAAGATGCCATAGCCTGCCACAATAACATATCGGTGCTAACCAGACAAAAGGTTAATTTCTTCTACAGACTGCAGATGATGTTTCTTCTGTGGAACAGTTAAAACTCCAGCAAAGAGTTATGAGAAATACTTCACTTTATTGTTGTGACTTTCTCAGTAAAATTGGCAACTTTCAGAGGTCCAGTGTGTAGGAATTAGGGGAATATATTGGCATAAACTCAACTTAATATTCATATCTATGTTTTCATTACTTTATAATAACCTGAAACTCAGAATCGTTGTGTTTTTGTTACCTTAGATTAAGCTATTCCTATCTTCAAATGCTTTGTACATGGGAGAAGCTCCAGTTGGTTGCAGTCTGCAACCTCACCACTAGATGCCACTAAGTCCCACACATGAGAACTTTAACACTGTGTTTGCGATTTTTATTTTCCAAATAAGAGCCTATCCACAAAGTTTGTGACTTTTTATCAGTTTTAGCAGCGCAGCTGTAGAGATGTTGATGTTGTGATGATGATGATGTTCTATCAGCCAGTCCAGACTGAAATATCTCATCAACTATTGGATAGATAGCCATAATATTTGGCATAGATATTCATGATCCTCAGAGGATGAATCTTACCAACTTTGGTGATCTTCTGACTTTTCCATAAGGTCAAAATTAGCCAATACTTTAATTTATGACCAAGTATGTGCAGAACTAATAACATTCAATGATTGTAATGATCAGCCTCAGTTGTTCTTTGTGTTTACTGCTGATTAGCTAATGTTCTAACACGCTAAACTAAGATAGTGAAAGTAGTGAATGTTACACGTGCATGCTCACAGTGGCAATGCTAGCATGCACGTGTAACATTCACTACTTTCACTATCTTAGTTTAGCTAATGTTCTAACACGCTAAACTAAGATAGTGAAAGTAGTGAATGTTACACGTGCATGCTAGCATTGCCACTGTGAGCATGTAAGCATTCGAGTGCAGCCTTGCAGAGCTGCTAGCATGACTGACTCTCATTTTACTTTTAATTTTTATTTTAGAATGCGTATACATGTATTAAAATCATTACACCTATTACCACATCACATCACATCACATCACACCTATTGAATTAGTGTGTAATATTGTCTAGCTGATTTTACAGCGGCCTTAAGGTACTTTAGCAGGTGTTTTATAAAGCAGCAACTGTATAAATTCATTTCTGTAACAGGAAACCAGTGTGAGCATTGGAGAACGGTCAGTTTCAATGGTCTTTTTGGGAAGACAAGACAAAGTGTTGGAGTAGTGGTATTGACTCTTCTCTGCCTCCTTCCTCCTCCAGTGGCTTTTAAGGAGATCTGTCCGGCTGGTCCTGGTTACCATTACTCAGCTTCGGCCCTGCAGTTCAACCAGAGAGTCAACGAGCACCTGGGGAGCCGAGGAGTTCAGCTGGTCACCCACAGCAACCAGGATAACCAGGGTACCTAATTTAGATCGACCTAGAACTTATTGTATGTTGGCTAAATATCACCTATATATTTAAGGTTTGGTTTAGTTTTTATGTCATTTTATGGTGGAGTTTTCATGTTTGCATGGCCCTGCAATCTTGGTAGTGGGTCGGCCTGGACTGAAATATCTCAACAACTATTGGATGGATTGGCATGAAATTTTGTACATGAATCTTATAGACATTGTGAATCCTCCTGACTTTCCATCTAGTGCTACCAGCACAATGTTTCACCTAACAGCAACAAACAGAAAGGAGCTTTTTCAGGTACCCCCTGGTTCCTGCAGAGAAAGTGATTTATTCTCCCATTAACTGATGGAGGGACATGAAACTCTCCTGAATGAATCATCAGAACAAAAGATTAACAACAGTGTTAGAAAATATCTGATTCTTTGATGAAAAGTCAAAGGCAACACATTAACAGATTGCAGAAAAGCCAAATAACTTAAAGCCTGAATGCAGCAGCGATGATAATAAAGCTGCTGCTGTGTGACAGAGTGACGGAGAGAGAAACAGAAAGAGGGGAAAAGAAGGTATAAGTTGGATTATTGCACAATGGTGATCTATGTTAATAACTGGCTCAGAGCGCTGCTTTGTCACTAATTCACCTGCCCAACCGAGACCTGTGATATTTTCAAACAAGCTTACTTGACCCGTGTGCTGTTGATCAACCTGCACATCACTAGTATTGCAGCATTTAGAGCCAACCACCAAACTGACAGATAAAAAACCTGATTCATTAGAAACAACGTGTAAATAATCTAAGCTGGTGGTCAGAACATAAACCTTTATGACTGTGACAATGTCTGCCACATTTTGCTCACACTAGCCACTAAAAGCTAACTGTCATGCAGCACAAAGAGAGGTTGTATCAACAAAACTTATGGGTGCATTGGTCTAAAGAAGGTTGTAGTTTTCTGCTCGTCAATTCTACATTTTATTTTTGTAAGGAAAAAGGTGTTATATTTCTTCTGCCAAAACTTCTGTTGAAACATTTTATTTTGAATGGATGCTTCTTTGCTTGAATTTGCACCAAGTCTTTCTTTGTCTCTTTTTCTTTGAGCTACTATACATGCAGCCTCTAAAATTCACCTTTTGACTCTATTTTTTACATGAAAGCTAAAATAGATTTATGTGTGCTCTAGTTGCAAATTAAGCACCCAGAGGACACAAACCATTCACGCATCCATTTTTTGTCCACACCTCCGTCCACCAGGTCCTGGTTCTGGGACCAGTAGCAGCGGAGCCTCCAGGTCTCAGCAGATACCCTCTTCTTCTGGAGCAAGTACTTCGCTGAGTTCTTCTTCAGGTGTCGGGTCCAGTACTGGATCAGCTGGTACCAGCATAACCCACATCAGACCCAGTCTACCCCAGCCTCAACCCAGACCCCAGCCCCACCCTCAACCTCAGCCTCGACCTCAGCCTCGGCCCCAGCCTCCATCTCAGCCTCGACCTCAGCCTCAGCCCCAACCTCCATCTCAGCCTCGACCTCAGCCTCAGCCCCAACCTCCATCTCAGCCTCGACCTCAGCCTCAGCCCCAGCCTCCATCTCAGCCTCGACCTCAGCCCCAATCTCCATCTCAGCCTCGACCTCAGCCTCGACCTCAGCCTCGACCTCAGCCTCAGCCCCAGCCTCCATCTCAGCCTCGACCTCAGCCCCGGCCAGCTGACTCTTCCCCTTCCAGGCCAGTGCAGCCTGGCGGCACCGGCACCACGGCCTCCCAGGACAAACCCCAGACTCCCAGCAGACCTGGGACCCAACAGAACCAGCCCGACCCTGCCCTGTCATTCACAACACAACAAAGAACCCAGCCTCCACCCACCAGGACTCAAGGTAACAGAGGCTCCAAGAGCGAAATACTGCTTTGTTTAATAAGAGTCAGTTCTGTTACAGTGTCTTGAATGCAGTACATTTAATGACATGACCTCAGTCAGATGAGTCCCCTCTGTCTTCAGCAGGTGGTCAGTCCTCCTCGGTATCCCGGCCAGATCAGCCAGCAGCCAGAGGGGACTCTCTCCCCGCTCCTGCCCAGCCACAGAGCCCTGAGCGTGGGTCGAGTTCCAGCAGAGACCTCCCTCTGCAGAGCAGACCAGCTGTCAGCCCAACGACCCGACCAGCCCGAGTCCAGCGTGAGTACCAGCAGACTCAAAGCACAGCCTCAGACCACACAGAGTACATGTGTTTATGTATCAGTGTCTGAAGATGAGCATGCATTCAGTGGTGGCATTCAGACCACAGGTCTCCACCACAGTTCTGTTTTCCGATATTACTGAACACTGCAAAGCCGTGAGCATGCCTGAATCTGAGTTCACTTAGTGGAGACATACCAAACACACACCTGTTGTCCACATGTAAACAATTTCCACCGGAATTTGCTGCCAACTAAAATCTGACTCTGAACTAAGAATCAGACATGTAGTGGGAAAGCTTCAGCCCCAGAAGTCCCAGTTTTATGTCTTTAAATAAAAAAAATCACATCAAAGTGTTAAATTCCTGCAACAGCTTTGTTAGAAATACGAGATTGTGTTGTTAACCTTAATCAGACATCATGTTCACAAGCATTATACTAACGTAACCAAATCACAACACTGGAGGCAATTACATCATCAGTTACTGCAAAAAGAAAATTCCATAAAACGAGACAAACAATGAAACTAAAGATCCCAATAAAAAAGGCTGTGTGTGTGTGTGTGTGCGCCCACGCAGCAGTGCGAGGTGTGTGTGAGAGCAAACCAGGTGTGTGTGGGCGGGGACGCTGTGTGGACCAGCCAGGTGGAAAACACACGTGTGTGTGTGATCAGGGATACCAGCCCAACTCTCAGCGCACATACTGCCAAGGTGAGAACTATTATTAGATTATTATTGATTTTATTTGACTTTTTTCAGGGGAGGACATTTTGCCAAATTTTCTGCTATTTTACAAATAATTTTCAGATATTTGACCAGCATTCTCTGGCATTTTTTTTTAAATAATGTTTTTGACATTTTACTAAAAGTATGATAGATACTCTATGAGGGTTTTTTAAAAAAATATATTTCACTAATAATTTTCTGATATTTTACTATCTTTTCATACATTGACTGATTTTTTTTAATATTTTACTTTTTCAGTATTTTAATTTAATTTCTTCTGAGTATTTTATTCATGTTTTATGGATATGTAAATGCATTGTTTTGGTATCCTTTACTAATATTTTTGTGACATTTACTATTTGTTTTTGCACATTTTACAGATTTTTTTTAGAATATGTTGCACATTTTTTTCTGATATTTAAGTAATATTTTTCTGATATTTTAATAACATTTTTAGATACATTTTACTCATGTCAAGGGGATGTTTTCCTAATATTTTTGAGGATTTTTTACTTGTATTTTGGGAATCCTTGACAGATATCTTTGGAATATTCTACTTTTGTGTTTTTTTTAAAAAATCAGATTTTTTTACTCATTTTTTGTGAATCCTTTACTAATGTTTTTTTTTATTTTTTTATTAAAGTTCTTTTTGGATATCTTACTAATATCTTAGGGGTATTTTACTATATTTTACAGGATGGGGTTATACATAAGGTAATGCGCATTCAAGCTCAGGTTTCCGCTGGGTAGCTGATCAAATTTGTCCAAACATCTGAAACATTTCTTTTGGAGCACAAACATGTATTTATAATAATTTGATAAAGCTCCATCCATGTGAGACAGCTAGAATTATTCACTGGTGTATCATATTTTTTTAATAATGTTTTGTGTGTGTGTGTGTGTGTGTGTGTGTGTGTGTAGATGTGAATGAGTGTATCCAGTCTTCAGCTGTGTGTTCAGTGGGAGAGTGTATGAACACCATGGGAAGCTACAGGTGTGTGTGTCCGCCTGGATACATGAGCAGCAGCCAGCAGACTAGCTGTCAAGGTAACGGCCACTTCCTGTTGTGTCTTTATTTGTGCAGGTTGTTTGTGTTTCTTCTTCTTCTTCTAACTAAAAGACTCTGTCACTTCCTCAGACATCGATGAGTGTCTGCAGAATCCCTGCACCAACGGTCGCTGTGACAACACGCCGGGCAGCTACAAGTGTGTCTGTCGCCTTGGCTACAGGCTCATCGGCAGCATCTGCACAGGTAACCAAAAGACTCATGATTTCAAAATTCAAATGTTGATAAAAAAAAGACAGAAGTTAGAATAGTTTAATTGTTATAATAATCTAGGACCATCCTGTACAATGAGCGCTTTCACTTATGCTACATTAAGCAATAACAATTTTGTACTTTTGCTTAAGTCAAATCTTGAATTTAAGACTTATGAATTTGAGTCAAGTAAAAATAGCAATACCACTATGAGTACTTCCTCCACCCCTGACTCTAAGTATGTTTTGTTGATAATACTTTAATGTGGTATTGCTTCTTTTACTGAAGTAAAACATCGTAACAGTATTTGTTTCACCGCTGGATCAGCTGTGTCAGAAATGTGTGTGTGTGTGTGTTTCAGATATGGACGAGTGTGAGGATGCTCTGCAGTGTCCAGGTCAGGAGTGCATCAACAGTCAGGGCTCGTACCGCTGCGTGTCCTGTCAGCCCGGATACAGACTGGTCAACAGGCTCTGCACAGGTACACACACCTGTTGGTAAAATTACAACTTGCAATACCACAAAGTATAAATACTCTGGTACAAGTGAAAGAGTAATTATAGTTGCCAGATAAATGTTGTACAGTTAAAAGTACTAGGTATTTTTCTAATGTTTTACAGATAATATTTGGGATACTTAACTTTTTGTCTAATATTTACTAATATTTATCCACTTTTTTGTTAATGTCTTTTCAAAAGCTTACTCATAATTTTGGGATTCTTTACCAGTATTATTTGGATGATATTTTAAATTTCAAATACCAGGAATATGTAACTTGTGTTGAGTGCAAAGAGGCGAATACAACGTATTTGAATGTCAGATTTCTGATGTATATTAAACTGAAAATACAAAAAAATTATGACTTGTCAGTTTATTTATTTATTATCTTATATGTCAGAGTGACACTAGTGAGGGTTTTATTACCACACAGCACACTTTACTTTATCACAACCAGTGTCAGTGATTTGAGACTATCAGATTTATTGATTTAATGAATGAAATCTGAGTCTCATCATTCTGTCATGATGCATATTTGCAGACATCGACGAATGTCGCCAGGCTCCCTGCTCCAATGGTCGCTGTGAAAACACACCAGGAAGCTACCGCTGTGTCTGTCGTCATGGTTACAAGCTCCAGAACAACACCTGCACAGGTATAGTGAGGAAAGGGTGAAAGAAGTACTCAGACTAAACAAATGAGATATATCATGTTCATTTTTGCATATTTTACTGATTATTTTTTTATTACAATTTTATACTTAAAATTCTCAACTTTTTGGCTCATGTTTTTGCGTATTTTGGTAATATTTTTCAGATAATTTACAAATATTTTTCTGCATATTTTACTGATATTTTTCATATACTTTTCAAACATTTTTCTGATATTTTCACATTTTTTACAGATAATTTTTCTTATTTTTTGATTTTTCTTTCCTTTTTTTTTAGTAGTGTTTTATGCTTCCGGTCTTTTTGACAAGCTAACTGGCTGTTGCTTCATATTTAGAGTGACATCAATCTGAACATTGTCAAATGTGAAACTCTTCCCTTAATGAAATATTAGCGTGTGTGTCTGTGTGTGTGTGCAGACATAGATGAGTGTGCTGAGCGGTCTCAGTGTCCTGGTCAGATGTGTGTGAACACTGTGGGATCGTACCGCTGTGTGTCCTGTCGACCAGGGTACACACTCACCAACAGACAGTGTACAGGTACATAAACAGACACGCACACACACAGCACTTTGAATCCCCTCGTCGTTGAACTGTGCTGAACAGATACACTACTGTTTTGCAGATGTAAATGAGTGTGAGAACAGCGAGTCTTGTCCTGGTCAGCGGTGTGTGAACACTGAAGGGTCTTACAGCTGTGTGGAGTGTCAGCAGGGATACCACAGCGTCAATGGGGTGTGTGTAGGTCAGTGCTGGAAGAAGTATTGTACTAATACCACACTGTGAAAATACTCAATTACAGGTAAAAGCCCTGCATTCAGAACCTTATTTGAGTAGAAGTATGATTTGTCCACTACTTTACTAATATTTTTCTAAAATTTTAATTATATTTTCTGATATTTTAGTGATAGTTTTTGTGTATTTGATTAATACCTGTCATGTCATCCATCTTTATATACAGTCTACGGTGGAAACACTGATTACATTGGGCTAAAGGAACCTTTTAAGATCTTGAATAGATAAAGACATTCATGCTTCCCAGAGGATGAATTGTAATGATTTTTTTGTATGTGTATGTCAGATGAGGACGAATGTGTGCAGGCCTCTCAGTGTCCCGGTCAGCAGTGTGTGAACACTGTGGGATCATACCGCTGCGTGTCCTGTCAGCCTGGATACAGCAGCAAGGACGGCTCCTGCCAAGGTAACACACAGACACAAACACACAATGTTTCCTGACCATCACTGACATAGTCTCAGTTTAGATCAGTGATCAGAGCTGAGCAAAACAATGTGTGCATTCAGGTGTTTTTAACCAATCAGTGACAAGTATTCAGACAGACCTCTCTCCTGTCTGCAGATGTAGATGAGTGTGCCAGCGAGGGGGCGTGTGAGGCAGAGCGGGTGTGCGTGAACACCATTGGCTCGTTCAGGTGTGACTGTCCGCCTGGGTACCGAACCTCCAGCCTGGGAAGACAGTGCAGAGGTAAGTGGAGTTCACTGCCTGACAGGAACGTCAACAACATAATAAACCTCAGGCACACTTTGAAACATTTAATACATTTATCTATTGTAATTATTGTTTGTTAAATGTGTGTTAAAGACATTAACCTGTGTGTGTGTGTGTGTGTGTGTGTGTGTGTGTGTGTGTCCGCAGACATTAACGAGTGTTTGGAGGGAGACTTCTGTTTCCCCAGAGGAGAGTGTGTGAACTCACCGGGGTCCTACACATGTGTGTGCTCTCAGGGATTCACACTGAGTGACAACAGGACCGCCTGCATCGGTGAGTGAGTCACTGCCTGAGTGAATGCACGTAGTGCCGTTGTTGTTAACGTGGATCCAAACAAACACTGTGGAACTCTGGGGGATCATTTAATCTGTTTTATATCGCTCTGTAGTTTCTGCCTTTGAATCACAACAACACATGAAGGAATGTCAGTGTGACCGCCTCCTCAGAAGTTCTGTTCCAGTCAGAACCATAAATATATTTGAGGCTGTGTAGTCACACACAGCTGTTTATCATCCACACTGATCCACATCCTGCATGTCAGAGTCTCTGCAGGCAAACAGATGTGACTGTGGTTCTGCTGTTGGATGTTTGTGGTCCTGACTGAGATGTTTGTAGTTCCTTTGTTGGATGTTTGTGGTCCTGTTGTTGTATGTTGGGGTTCTGTTGTTGGATGTTTGTGGTCCTGTTGTTGTATGTTGGAGTTCTGTTGTTGGATGTTTGGGGTTCTGGTGTTGGATGTTTGGGGTTCTGGTGTTGGATGTTTGTAGTTCCTTTGTTGGATGTTTGAGGTTCTGTTGCAGCCATTTACAGTTGGGTTGTTAGAGGTCTGTGGTTCTGTTGTTGTATGTTGAGGTCTTCTTGGATGTCTGTGGTTCTGTTGTTGTTTGTTGGGGTTCTGGTGTTGGATGTTTGAAGTTCCATTGTCAGATGTTTTTAGTTCTATTGCAGTCATTTAGAGTTGTGTTCTTGGACGTCTGTAGTTCTTTTTTTCTGTTCTTGGATGTCTGTGTTTTGTTGTTTGATGTTTGTGGTTCTGTTGTTCTGTTGTTAGATGCTTATGATTCTGTTGCAGATGTTTGTGGCTTGGTTGTTCGATGTCTGCAGTTCTGATGTTCTTTTGGTGGATGTTTGTGGTTCTGTTGTTGGATCCCGGGGGTTCTGTTACAGATGTTTGCGGTTCTTTTGTTGGATGTTTAATTCTGTTGCAGTCATTTATAGCCCTCTTGTTGGATGTTTGAAAACCTGTGATTCTGTTGTTCTGTTGCCTGATGTCTTGAGTTCTTTGTGGTAACACAGAGCTCAGTGTTCATCTTGCTCTGCCAGCGGTTCTCAGGTCAGTCTTTTCCTCCTCTGCTTCTGCTTTTAGAGCTGATGTAATGGTGATGTCATGTTTGGCCAGTCCTTGTGACGACGACATGTGTATATATGGACTGTGTGTGTGTGTGTGTGTGTGTGCGTGTGTGTACATGTTCTGACGGCCTCTCTCTGTCTGCAGACGTGGACGAGTGTACGAAGTCTGGTGTGTGTTTGGACGGTCGCTGTGTGAACACTGAAGGTTCCTTCCACTGCCAGTGTCAAACCGGCTTCACCACCAATCCAGAGAGAACTGCCTGCCTCGGTACACACACACACACACACACACACACACACACACACACACACACACACAAGCATGTTTGCATTACTGAGCAGACGCCAAATTTAATCCTGAACACTTTCAAGGTACTTGTACTTTCCTTGAGCATTCCCATTGTGTTACTCTATACTTCTCCTCCACATCTCAGAGGGAAACACTTCAGTTTTTACTACAGAATAACATACATATAACCACAAGACAACAAACACACTGTAAACGGTACACTCTGCCATCTCTGTATCTCTCAGACGTTGATGAGTGTGTCTCGTCCGGCGGCTCAGTGTGTGCATCACAGCGCTGTGAGAACACGATTGGCTCGTACCACTGCCTCACTTCCTGTGAGCCGGGCTACCAGGTCACACAGACAGGCAACTGCGTAGGTGAGTCTGATCCCTGAAACATGTATTTGTGATAATATGTTTGTGTTTTTTACTGTGTGGTTATAGTTCTTTTACTGCAGTAAAAGATCTGAATACGTCTCTCTCTTTCAGACATTAATGAATGTGCCAATAAGACAGTGTGCGGACGTCATGCCTACTGTCAGAACCTAATAGGAACCTACCTGTGTGTGTGTGACCAGGGCTTCACCTCCACCGGCGACGGGAAGGCTTGTGTGGGTAAGTGTCTGTCTTCAGTTTTTACAAGTAGTGTAAAGCCTTTAGTGTCTCCAGAGGCAGCTGTCTGATAAGGCCCCTACACAGAAAGGTTGCAAAACACGGGAACAACGCTAAGTCAGACTTCATGTTTGAAAACAAAAAATCTGGAGGTGTGGAGTTATAAAGAAGTGAGCGTACCAGACCTCTGCAGCCTGCCGCTCATCTCTGCTGCAGGATACCACACTGCTGTCAGACGGAGAGGTGCATTGTGGGTAATGTAGGTTTTAACAAAGAAGAAACATGTGGAGTGATAAAAGACAATATCTCTGGTCCTGCTGCATTGATTTTAATCTGTTTTTTTTTGGGTGTGATGATAAATGATTGTTCTGTCTCTTTCTCTCTCAGATGAGGACGAGTGTGTGTCTATGCCCGGTGTGTGTGGTTCTGCTCGCTGTGAGAATGTGGAGGGATCCTTCATGTGTGAATGTGACAGACGGGGAGAAGAGTTTGACCACACCACAAGGCAGTGCGTCAACACGGCACAAGGTGGTACAACAACGTTATTTTACATCCGTCACTGTTTTATTAGTGTTTATGTACCATGTTGCATGCATTCACCTATCCATGTGTATATAGCTGGATAGATAGTTTGTTATTTATCCCAGCAGGAAACTTGACAGCAGCTTGGAGTAAAACACAATGCAATATTCATTCATGTTCCGTAACCGCTTGTCCTGTTGGAGGTTGCGGGGCTGGAGGCAGGGTTCACCCTGGACAGGTCACCAGACTATCACAGGGCTGACACATAGAGACAGACAACCATTCACACTCACATTCACACCTACGGACAATTTAGAGTCACCTGCATGTCTTTGGACTGTGGGAGGAAGCTGGAGCACCTGGAGGAAACCCACGCTGACACAGGGAGAACATGCAGACTCCACACAGAGGGGCTGCCCCACCCTGGAGTTTGAACCCACTACCCTGCGTCCAAACCAGGAATCTGCTTGCTGTGAGGCAACAATGCTAACCACTGAACCATGACACATCAGCTATTAACAATAACTTTTAATAAGAACAGAACAGAAAAGGCTGCAGTGAGAGTTTCTCTCCATGGGATATTTAAAAATAGCTGCTTTGTGCATTTAGTCCTTCTCAGGCAAGCTCAGGGGTTTAGTGTTGCTGTAGCCCACAGGAACAACGCTCCACCAAGTGAGGATTAGAATATATGCAGTTCACATAATCCTAACTTCCTAACTTACCACATTATCTTATTTTAAACTCATTATATTCTCATTTTTTCTCCTGCGGCAGGGATGCTCCCAAGCTCCACCTCCATCTCCTCCTCGTCCTCCTCCCATGTCAGTGTGGTGGAGTTGGCTCCAGTGCTGCCCCCACTCCCTGCAGCTCGTCCTGGCGAGCTGAGGGAGTGTTACTACAACCTGGCTGAGCGGGGAACCTGCAGCCTGCTGGCTACCAACACCAGCCAGCAGGAGTGCTGCTGCACGGTGGGGGAGGGCTGGGGGCTGGGCTGCCAGTACCACACCTGCCCCACCGCTGACACAGGTGAGACACCGGGCACACTGGAAGGTATTCCAACAAACAATCCAAAACCCAAAGACACCCATTTTACTCTGATATAGAACAGGAGAAAGGATCTATCTGGGCATCGAGATGAAACCATGTTTGAAGATTCCCATAAAGTATAACAAAAATACAAAATATAAATGATCTCAAACTTCTCAAGCTGATCTCACAGCTTGTACAAAAACAAGCATGAAAATAAGCGTACACACTCTGCATTAGACAACCTGGAGTTGCAGCATACATATTCCAGGTATTAAACTGAAAAGGGATAGTCAATAACAATAGTAGGGGGGCAGGTACAGATAAAAGACGGAAGCTGCCAAAACCAAAAGTAAATAAATGAGTTGATAAATAAATGTTTATGCCATTAAATGTACCAAAAATGATATTAAAAATAAACATAGGCGTTGATTAATTAATGAAAAGTGACAAATTGATTTCTGTTTTCATGTTTGCATTTATTTTTAATTTATTTAAAATGTATTTTAACATTTATTTATTCATTTTCAAATGTATTTATTTATATATTTATTTATTTATTTTGGCATTATTTTCCCTTTGCGTTTACCCCCTATTTATTTCCCCAAACACATTTTTTATTGTGTTATTTTTTTATGAATAAATTTGAAAATAAACAAAAATAATTTCAAAATAAAAATAAATGAGAAAATAAATTAAAAGATGAGAAAAATAAATATATAAAGATACATAAAAAACTTGAATAGCAAAGTAAATAATTTCATTTTTTGTCACATTTTATCAATTAATTAATGCTAATATTTATTTTTAATATTATATTTGGTACATTTAATGACAAATTAATTTATTTATCAAATAATTTATTTACTTTTTCATTTTGGTGGCTTCTGCACTCCATAAGAAACACTTAAATATGTACTCATCAGTTGTTTTATTCCTTTTTTTGTGTCTCTGTGCAGCCGAGTTTCTGTCTCTGTGTCCCAGTGGGAGAGGATACGTTACTACTGGACCAGGAGCCTTCAGCTACAGAGGTAAATATTTATACATAGAGGTCAAATTGAAATAATCAGGAACACCGTTTGTCTCACCTCCAGGTTTGTTTGTACCAAACATTGGAATGATCCTTTTTTTTTCCCTCTCTGCCAGATGTGGACGAGTGTAAGCGTTTCCAGCCGGAGGTGTGTAAGAACGGAGTGTGCGTCAACAACATCCCTGGATACAACTGCTACTGCGCCAGTGGATATGTGTACAACAGCACCCTGCTGGAGTGTGTTGGTACGCACAACACACACACACACACACTGTTTGTTCTTCTATACATGGAGTTGCAGGAAGAGTGAATGGAGTCTTTTCTCAAGCGCGTTCCAAAACCAAAACACAACAGCAAAAGTTTAATGAATGGATTAAACTGTGTACTTTTCTGCTCTACTGTACAATGCTAATGTTAGCGTACCCGGCATCTCCAAGGCCAGTCTTTGTGGCTCAAACAGTACAGAGACGAGAAAATGAACAACAGGACACTGTGCTAAAACTTTGTGAGCGTACAGTAACTGACTGTCTGCCTGTCTGTCTGTCTGTCTGTCTGTCTTTCTGTGTCAGATCACGATGAGTGTGAGGAGGAGAGTTGTATCGGAGGACTCTGTGTCAACACGGTGGGTTCTTATTACTGCAGCTGTCCACATCCTCTGGTGCTCGACGACACTCAACGCAACTGTGTCAACTCCTCCCACCTCACTGTGGGTAAGACACCTGCCTTCATCCTCCTCTTGCTCCTCATTTGCATACCTCACCAGAGTGTACGGTGTATGATAGTATGCACTACAAAATAACGTACAAATGTAGCGTTTCTATGGTTTGCAGAAACATTCAATGCCGACATTTTTTCTGGTGACTGGGTTGCTCCTTTTAAAGAAATCTAAAAACAACAATATGCTAATTTACAGGGGCTTATGTGTCAGATAATTTCTTGTCTCTGAGCAGTTGGAGATTTCAGGAAGTTAACTGTGTCCTTAGAGTTTCAATGCGGGACTTGTACTTGTAACAGAGTATTTCTACACTGTAGTATTGCTACATTTACTCACTTAAAGCGTCGTCCTCTCTCTGGTTGTCTGTGCTCCAGATGAGAACCTGTCTGTGTGCTGGCAGCACGTCACGGCAGACCTGGTGTGTCAGAGTCCTCTGCTTGGAGCTCAGGTCACCTTCATGGACTGCTGCTGTCTGTACGGGGAGGGCTGGGGGATGGAGTGCGCCCTCTGCCCCTCCACTGACTCTGGTAAGTACCTCACTTTACCACAGAACACCACCATGTGGACAGACCAACCTGCATCAGGTGATCAAAGCTGGATCACAGGAACAAGAAAGAGTAACAGGAGGGCCTTTAAAAGGCCAGTTTGTGTGTACACAGATACTGATACAGGTGTCGCAGAGAGAGTTTTCCAGTTTAAAACTCAAATTCTGTGTGTTTGTGTAACTGTGTCCACAATAAGGACATGAACCAGGCTTCCATCACAATGTAATGCAAATTAAACCACAATAAAAAGGAAATCAATTCAGATGTTAGGGGAAAAAAACAGTATTATCTCTTTGGGGGGGGATTTGAATTAAAAATGACTCAAAATAATTGAACCAAAATGTTAAAACATGTTGACAACTGATTCAATTAGGACAGACTTTTAGCATGACATCAACTTTCTGTACTCACGAAATCACTCCGGTCTTGGCCAATAATCAGGAGTCCTGAACTATTAGCAGCAGAGATGTGGTGACAGTCAGACAGAGAGGAGACAGGACTGCCCTGGACTTAGAATTAGTCTTAGAAATAGTTGCCTGCATGTTCATGATATGAATGTAATTTCCTGAGTTCCAATAAACACAAGAAGTTTGTGCTCTAGAGAAAGGATCAACACTCAGTGAAGAACCTAAGCCCTATGATAAGCTAATATGGAAAGGCTTAACTATACAAACCAATGAGCAGTGATAACTAGCATGTCTTTGGGGTCATCGGGTGGGAACCTCCTTTCACCAGTGTTTCGTCTAGTTGGTCCCACGACACCTCCAGGAGGCTAGACAGTGATCTCTAGCGTCCCAGAGACACTCCCCTAATGCCAGGTCTCACTGCTCCCCTCCCCGCACCAACCCAATAACCTCCTTTACCTTACTTACGTATGGCTTTCTCAGCCCAAACAGCACTGCCACCTTCAACCAAACCCAGGCTCCGAAGCAGGGCTGATACTACCTTTCCTAGCACATTCACCATACTCTATTTCACACACTACATAGCATAACTACAATATAAGCTAAAGGTAAAGGAGCTAAATGAACTTACAGGATCAGCAAACACACTCACCTTGCCGCATGGCCTCAAACAAAATGGATTCAAATAGGCCACTCCCACACTTAAATACTTCCTCTTCCTGGATTTCCTCCTGAGAGGAAGTGGATCTCTCCACCTGATCTCAAGGAGTTATGTGCCCTGTTTAGTAGTTCCCCCTGCTGGCCCCCAGCTGACATTATTTCTTCTCTTATAGATAAACTGGCTACATTTAATTGCTTCATCTGACATTTCCCTCACTGTCTTCCTCAAACTCTGTCCCCGCACTCCGAGTTCCCCCAGGAGCGAGACAGCTGATCTTGCTATGAATCCCCTACACCCCACTTCCACTGGACAAATCCTAGTCTTCCATCCTCGCTGCTCAGCTTCTGCTCCTAAGTCTGCATATCTAAGCTTTTTTCTTTCATAGGCTTCTTTCACTGAGTCTTCCCAAGGAACTGTCAGCTCAATGAAATAAACTATCTGTTGACTCACTGACCACAACACTAAGTCAGGCCTCTGCCTGGTATAAACTATTTCCTGGGTAACACCAAGCTTTCCCCTAAATCTACTTGCATTTCCCAATCACAAGCACCTTCTAGGCGGCCACACCCTTGCCTCTTCACTAACTTATCTCTTCTGTGTTTCTCTCCCTCACAGACAAACTGAATTACTAAACTCCTATCCTTAATGATTAAATGATATATTTTGGTGGTTTGAGTTGAAGGTGTGAGAAAGAATAGTGTCAGTAACGTTGTTAACACTGTGCTACATTACAGAGAAATACAACACCGTACTAATGAACCTTCATTAATATAGGCCTATATTTTATCTCCAAGTGCACGTCACACACTGAGCGAGCCGCCTGTTAATGACGCTGTGGGCTAATGGGCATGTAGCTACTTCCATGTTTCAGATGATACGTCATGTTTGTAGTCGACCAATGAAGATGAGTTTACATATCACCTTGGGTTCGTCCTTCACCTTCTCAAAATGATCCCACACTTTGGATTTCCCGCCCGACATGTTATTAACTAGCCTGTGGAATATCCGCAGGTACCAGCCCTGGAAATTAACCTGACTCCTGTCTGACTGCTGATTGTGGACACTTCCTATGTCTGTCCTTTCACATTAAATTCACACATGGTCCCGTCATATAGGTTTGGATTTATTTTGACAAGGTACATCTCCTAATAGAGTTTCATGTTTGTTTGTTTGTTTGTTCTTTCCGACTAATTACCTTTCTCGTCGACTAACATTTGGTCGATTATTAGGGGACGGCCCAAAGAGGAGATGTTTGATAATCACTATGACCCCATTAAGAGATACTGTTTCTGAATAAAGTAAAAAAACAACAACAACGTTTTGAAGGACGTTGTGCACGAAGTCCAGACCTGGTTCAGAGTATTAAAAAGTAAATGTGAAGGTTATGTTTTATAGATCAACATGAATAACTCTCTCCGTGTGTGCAGACGACTACGGCACTCTGTGCAGTTCGATTCTTCCTCCCTTTTTGCCGGAGGGTTTTCCGGACTTTGGAGCTGAAACGGGAGTGAGACCAGGAGCTGGACGAGGACGAGGAGGAGCCAGTGAGCAATGTAACTAAAATATTACACCTCAAATAATATAAATGTTTTTGTGAATTTTATTTATGACTGTTTTTCTTCCTAATTTCTCCAAGTTATTTATAAATATCTGAGTGAGTTTAAATGAGTTTATTTATTTAGCTTTTATTTTTTTGATTTTTGCTGTAATGTTTTTTCCCTTATCTCCTTCCCTTGTTTCTTCTCCTTGTCTCTTCTCTGTTCCCTTTCTTCTTCTTTTTCCTCTCCTCTCATCTTCTCTTTTCTCATCTTGTTTCCTCTTCTTGTCTCATCTCCTTTTCTTTCTTTATTTCCTTTCCTCTCTCACTTTCTCTTCTTGTCTGCTTTCTCCTGTTTTTCCTCTCCTCTCCTCCCCTCTCCTCGTCCCCTCAGCTCCTCCATACTTCCCTCCCTACAGTACGGACTCCTTCCCTCCGCCTGTGCTTCCTGACTATGACGACTACTCTCCAGCAGGAGACAGCAGGTCAGGTTTCAGAGGGAGGACACCTGCCACCTTCAGCCTGCCGGACAGTGGATATCCCAGGTCAGAGTACAGGTGAGGACGTCCGTCGATGTTTTTAAAGATGTTTTATATCCCTGACATGTTCTTAAAGTTGAAATGTTTAAACTTCTTATTTTTTCTGAAATTCCACTTTAATTTTTTTGGAGAGACAAATAAAACCACAGGATATGTATTCATTTGAGAAACAAAAAGAACCAAAGAATTTGTGAACTTTCATCTTGAGAAAATCACTTAAGATGATTAATCTATGACCCTCTGTCTGTCTGCCCGTCCCTCAGCACTGGTTACTACTCTGAAGGAGACTTCAGCCCCCCTGATGGCTCCCCGCCCAGGTCTCCATCCTTCCGCCTCCCTGCGGACCCCAGGGCCGAGATGGCATTTGGGGCCCGACCTCCTCCTCCATCACGACCCGACGGGCCTCCTCTCAGCCTGGCCCCACTGCCTGGCGCTCCCTATGAGGTGGAGCAGGAGGAGGAGGAGGAGGTGGCGTGGAGGCCGGGCCCGCCCTTCCCTCCGTTCACTGAGAGGGGCAGAGGAGGTGGAGGTGGAGGTGGAGGAGGTGGAGGAGGAGGAGGAGGAGGAGGAGGGGGAGCACCGAGGAGGGTGTATGAGAGTGAGTGGTAACTCTTTATTTTACAGGTCTGTATTTTCCAATACGTTTTGCAAAAAGAACAATAATGATTTAGCACCAGTTAAAATAAACAGAGACAAAATTTAATAATTTTGATTAAGTTGACTTCCACAAATATTAATTTATTATTGGAAACGTTACTCTCCATATGAATTGTATTTGTAAAAGGAAACAGGTGTTGTATATTTGCACATTTCTTCACTTCATTGTTAATAAATTTGATTTCACTGATTAGGAGTCACACAGATAAACACTAATTTCACAATTAGTGCAAACAAATGGCATGGGATCATGCAAACAATGATCTCCTGCGGCCGACCACCAGAGGTCAGTTTTTAAAGGGTTAATACTTTTTGTTAAAGATTAAAAGAAATCTCATGTCTTCTTCCTCCTCTCTCATCTTTCAGGGCGTTATGAATCCTACGCCGGCCTAAGCACAGCAGAGGATTGTGGGATACTACATGGCTGCGAGAATGGCAGGTGTATCCGCGTCGCCGAGGGTTACACCTGTGACTGTTACCAAGGATACGAACTGGACATGACCTCCATGACATGTATAGGTATGCAGAGACGACTGCTCTGACAGCTCAGAGTGGGAAAGGGAGACATGTAGTTATTGGTAATATGATCAATAGTATATTATCTTGACTTATGCACTTACGCGCTTATGCACTATGCAAAGAAGCAGAGCTGAACCTGTAATGATTTCTGAGCGCTGTACCTTAAAAAACAGGCATTTATGAAAATCACAAGTTTATTTGTTTTTTATTATTATTTTTAATGTTATGTTAATTATTTATAAAGTTTTTTATATTTGACGTCACATCTGAAACATGTTCCTGAGCCTTACTTTCCATATTCTCAAGGAAAAAAAAAGATATATATATATATATATATATATATATGGTATAAATTATGATATTATTGCAGTTTATATAAATCCTACATGCAGTATATACTGTATAAACATACACATACCTGAAGGCCCGAACATACTCGGGCGGACTGTACCCGGAACGGACTCCGCGAGGAATGTCCGCAGTCATTCGGGCTTCCATAGTTGAGCGCACTTCCACGTTGTAGTTTCCTGTAAAAATGTCCGTGAAAATCCCCCGCGATGTGAAAAATACATGCCGAGCAGTCACTGCTGTGCGGAGCGGAGTCCGCGCGGTCGTAAAATCTGAGCTCTGCGCGCACAGGGCTTGCGGACGTCCACTTTGAGTCCGCGCGGACCTCCGCGGAGTCCATTCCGCGTACGGTCTGCCCGAGTATGTTCGGGCCTTTAGGTGGAACCAACTCATTGTTTTGCAAGTCACAAGTGGGTCTTAAGGCCCAAACATACTCGGGCGGAACGTACGCGGAACGGACTCCGCGGAGGTCCGCGCGGACTCAAAGCGGACGTCCGCAAGCCCTGTGCGCACAAAGCTCAGATTTTACGACCGCGCGTAAACTCCGCTCCATGCACCAGTGACTGCTCGGCATGTATTTTTCACATTGCGGGTATTTTTCACGGACATTTTAACAGGAAACTACAAGGTAGAAGTGCGCTCAACTATGAAAGCCCGAATGACTGCGGACATTCCTCGGGGAGTCCGTTCCGCATATGTTCCGCCCGAGTATGTTCAGGCCTTTAATTATTTACACACAAGTCCCAAGTCCTAACCTTAGTGCACTTCATCATATGAAGTACCCTTTTACCAACAAGTAAAACATATATGATTTACAAAACACATGAATGTTTGTTAAATTTAGATTTATTTGTTAAAACAAGTTTGTTAAAAAGGTTCCTAGCTGTGGGATGTCGGTAGCTTAGTGGATAGAGCAGGCGCCCCATGTACAAGGCTGTTGCCGCAGCCTGCCCGGGTTCGAGTCCAGCCTGTGGCCCTTTGCTGCATGTCATTCCCTCTCTCTCTCTCTCTCTCCCTTTCACACTTGACTTTCCTATAAATGAAAGGCAAAACTGCCCCCCCAAAAAAACTACCTAGGGGCGTTGGTAGTGTAGTGGATAGTGCCAGCGCCCCATGTACAGAGGCGATGCCCGGCTGCAGCGGTCGCAGGTTCGACTCCGGCTGGCAACCATTTGCTGCGTGTCACCCCCCCACCCCCCCATTTCACTCTGTCCTGTTCATTAAAGGCAAAAGCCCAAAAAAACAATCTTTACCAAAAAAAAAAAGTTACCTAGCTATAAGGCTAACCTTAACTAAGCATTTGCTTGCTAACTGTTATTATTACCCTCGACTTACTGATTTTTGCAACTGCCAACTTTGTGCAACTTTTAACTTACCACTTCATGCAACGTCAGACTTTGTGCAATTTCCAACTTCCACTTTCATGCAACTTCCAACTTCGTTCATCTTTCAACTTCCAACGTCATGTAACTTCCACCTTCATGCAACTTCCAACCTCATGCAACTTTCAACTTCGTGCAACTTTCAACTTACCACTTCATGCAACGTCAGACTTCGTGCAGTTTCCAACTTTATGCAGTTTCCAACTTCCACTTTCATGCAACTTCCAACTTCGTTCATCTTTCAACTTCCAACTTCATGCAACGTCCACCTTCATACAACTTCCAACCTCATGCAACTTTCAACTTCGTGCAACTTCCAACTTCGTGCAACTTCCAGCTTCCACCTTCATGCAACTTCCAACCTCGTTCAACTTTCAACTTCCAACTTCATGCAACGTCCACCTTCATGTAACTTTCAACTTCGTGCAACTTCCCACTTCGTGCAACTTTCCACTTCATGCAACTTTCAGCTTCGTGCAGCTTCCCACTTCATGCAACTTTCAACTTCGTGCAACTTTCCACTTCATGCAACGTCCACCTTCATGCAATTTCTACCTTCATGCAACTTTCAACTGCGTGCAACTTCCCACTTCATGCAACTTTCAACTTCGTGCAACTTCCCTCTTCATGCAACTTTCAACTTCGTGCAACTTCCCACTTCATGCAACGTCCACCTTCATGCAACTTCCACCTTCATGCAACTTTCAGCTTTGCGCAACTTCCCACTTCCCACTTTATGCAACTTCCAACTTTGTGCAACTCCCAACTTCCATGGAAGTTGGGAGTTTCACAAAGAACCATCCATTATATGTAAATTTCGACCTTCACATGTTGCATATTGTAACTAACCAGCGACAGCATGTCAAGTTACATAATCATAACCGTGTTTTGTACATCTCCATAAAATGTGACGTCATTTTGTGTGTGTGTGTTTACAGATATAAACGAGTGTGAGGCTGGCATCACGTTGGACTTCCCGTGTGTCAACGCTCGCTGTGTGAACACCGATGGCTCGTTCCGCTGCGTCTGCAGGAGAGGATACGTCATGTCCCGCAGGCCAAACCACTGTGTGGCTGCATAGACCAGACCAAACTGGACTGGACTGGGCTCGATTAAACCAGTATAAACTGGTCTAGACAATCGAGACTGGACTGCACAACAACAGACTGGGCTAGACTAGATTAGACTAAAGCGGCTATGGGACCTGATTTGACAAACTAGATTATACCAGGTTAGGATGAACTGGGTTTAAAATAGTCTAGATTGCACTTAACTGGGAAAGGGTGGACTGGGCACCAGTTACACAAGGTCACTCTGGATAAAATACCAATTTAACACCGCTTTTTAGCTACAGTTTCTCCCTGTCTTTGCAAATTTCAACTTGTTTTTTGTGTTTATATGTGAACACGATATTTCCTTGTAGATTTTTCTCAGATTTTTGATGTCTAGAGAAAAAAATATCTCTGGAAACAAACAAAACTAACTTCTGTTGCAACAATCCAGGATAAATTAATCGTTTAGTAAAGTGACTGTAAACATGGTTAACTAGCTCAAACTGAAATCTCAATTCTCCTAAATGTTTTAATGTGAGGAAATATAATGACGTTGCAAAAGTTTTGCATATTTTTCTGTTATGCAAAAGAGGATAAAACTATTTTTGAACATATTTGTGGAGACAGTGTGTAAGCTTTAAAAATAGGCTATATGGACTGTCTCTTTCCAACATTCATCATTGTAAGGACCCAATATATTAGATTTTAATCTGATTTTTCAATATATATAAAATATATACTTAAACATCCTCAATCGTATTGACAGAGCAACAACACATATAAAACAAACATGCTCGACCTCAGTTTCTCTTTGTCATCGCCCACCTGTCCAAAAAATACAAGAAAAAGATAGAAAATGAACAATGATTTGAGTCAGGAAATTATTCATACGGTCACTTTATTACACCATTAGTTGGTCCCAGTGTATAGTCTGCTCTATCACCCCATACATTATCTCCTCACATAAAGGTCTACAAAAATGTGTCGAACAAGTTAAAAAACAATGTTTAAAGCTTGATGAAACCCCACAGTGTCTGGTCAGTTTAAACCAGTCTAGCCCTGTTTAGCACCAGTGGTTGAAACCAGGCTAACTCCTCAAGTAGACTCCAGGCCCGCTCTGATTAGCCTCCGCTGTGAACCACGCTGTGCCAAAGTTCATCTTTATGTTTCTGATGACCATGACTCTTTCTGAATGTTTACCTTGTTGAAGTTAAGTCTGGTAGGTTGTTCCCAGCGGGAGAAAAAAACGTGTTTTGAGATGTGTGAAGTAGAAGAAGAAAACAGTTGTGTGTGTATTTTTTTTGTTTGTTTTAGGAATCCAACCAGGCTGCAGAGAAACACTGAGCTCACATCAGTTTGAAAAACAGCAACTTTACATTTTAACCATAGATGGTAAAAAAGAAGTGGACGTAGCCTCTGGGTCAAGTGAAGTCAATGCTGAAGTGCCTTAAAGCTACATTCTTTCTAATGACCAGCAGGGGGCAACTCAACTGGTGGCAAAAACAAATTCAGTTGTATAGAAGTCAGTGAGAAAATGAACCTACTTCCCACTTGATTTATTACCTCGACAAACCTTTTCCCAATTAATTTATGGCCTCAGTCTCTAGTTTCAAGTCCTCTTCAATACAGCATGATGTTCATTATGTGATGGCTCCAAAATAAAAAAACAAGATGGCAACAACAACAACTCAAAACACCAAACTTGAGGCTTTAAAACCATGGATGTATAAATAGAACCACAGTGTTGGAAGCAGGGCCCAGTTCATTCCTATGAAAGCTGCTTAGTCACGCATGAAGCCAAAAACGTTCGATTTCCTGGGTATAAAATTACCTGGATTTTCCTCATCACGGGGCCAATAGAGCTATAGAGACTACTGCTGACTGAGCGGCTAACCTCTGGTTTTGTGCTCCCAAACTTAAATGGGGATAAAATTATTTAAACATGCGGCTCTTCTAGACTTTAAATATGTTATCAGACTGTATGGATCAAATTCTGATGGTGAAGCGAGTCATTTTGTTGGGGCTATGATGCTAAAAAAATGTATCCACTAATTTACAGAGGCCTGTTTGGGGTTCAATAGTGTCACGTGATAGACCTGAATGTTGTAATGCCACCGTTTGCATCATAACTTGGCTACTACGAAAACTGGCCTCAAAGCCAGTGCTGTTTATTTGGGCTTGGGCGTAGCAATGTGTATTCTCGGCAACTCCACCCTTTCTTCCAAATATGGTAATTTCTGGCTCCAGAAAACCAAGATTGCAACGGACAAAATGCCGAACTCTAGGCTATAGAATGATAGCCCACAAACCAGTGGGTGACATCATGGTGGCTACGTTCATTATTTTATACAGTCTATGGGTTTAATTGAATAGAAAACAGATGGAACAACATTAATAAACACCAGGTTTACTGTTTACACAACCCCAATTTGTTCAATGAAACAAAGATTTGAAGGGCATCATCTGCAGACATAAGACAAAATATCATCTAGCTTTAGAAATATTAATGAATTAATTATTTGAAGTAAAAAATAAATACAGCAATGATACCAAAACAATGCAAATCAGTCATGTATTAGCATTAGCATGATAGCTGTCCCATTGTAAACAACAGATCTTTAACCATCAAGAAGTAACTAGTGTTTTGTTGTTCCTCATCTAGAAAACTACGGTTACCCAAGTCTCCTGAGGAAATGTTGGCATTGTAGGTTTTTGCAAACCACTTATACATTTGTACATTATTACATAGCGGATACACTAAAACTTAACCCTATGGTTAATGTATGGATTAGTTTAGGCACAAAAACCACTTGGTTGCAGTTAGAAAAAGATCATGCTTTGGCTTAAACTACCTGATTTTGGGGGCATAATCATGACAGGAAAAACTGCAAAATGTCTCTACGAAACACCCACGTTTGGTGCCTAAAAAGCCGCTGGAAACTGAGTCACAACTCATTTTGTCATTTGTCTCAAACAGTGGTCTGCAGCTAGGCAAGCTGACTGTCCACCATCCCCTCCACCTCCAGATGACAAAGTCAGCTCATATACCACGTCACTTTTAAAACATTGATATGAAACGTAGAAATGTTACTTATTTGTGGTTTGCATAAATGTGCAATGCCAGTGTTTTCTTCTTGCAACTGGGCTGGGTATGTTGTGATGAAATTAAATTTAAACGTGCATCAGTAACAAGCCATCCACTAGCTAGAAGCGAATTGCAAAGGTACCAATTGCTGTGAGCTCATGAGCTAACCCAGCATATTCGTTAGCATAGACGTCGTTCTACTTACAAAACTCATTTTCTCACTGGGCTGTAGCCACTGAAATACTGACTGGATGAGTCCAAAAACCTCCAGCTGAGTAATTTTAATTGCTGAATTATATATTTCAGAACAGGGCACCATAATAACTCAACATTGACCAAAACTTCAGAACTAAGTCTGTGCTTGGATGTGTCCTTGCTTAAGCGCACCTTGTAGCCGACTTCTCTTCTTCAGTTTTTGTGTCCACAAACATCTTATAGCCTTGATTTTTTTTTTTTTTTTTTTAATCGAAGAAGCAGATACATCCTTTGTTTGGACGAATCAAGCAGGAGAATTTCACATTGATTCAAAGATGTGAAAGTTGTGTATTCGTGGGAAAAATGTATGAGACTTTTACTCCTGGAACCAGTGGTGTCTGAATTAAATACTCCTACTTTTCATCTACATTTTCTGGGTGTAAATACAAAATTTAAAATCCTGCTTATGCCGTTTAAATCCTTCAAATTAGGATTATTAATTAGGATTTTCTACTGAGATATTTTGACCCATTACAGATGTGATTTACAAACTACTTCAACCAGTTATTCAAAATGTCTTTTTCTCAGTATGCAGTATGTACATTTATATACCCTGACAGAGTTTTATAATCAACACTGTCTCTGTGATAAACTAATTAATCAACAACGCCATGATTTATCTTCACTAAACCAAATTCAGCGAACTATGAATGTTTATATTCTATAATTTTCTTATTGTCAACAAATTTCATGCAGATTCAAACCAAAACATTGTTTCCTACCAACAAGTGTTTTATATGCCCTCTTTATCACCATTACCACATACACTGTAGTTTATTTCGACTCAATCCCACACACACCGTCCTGCTGCCACAAATATTCACCAGAGCACCAAATGCGGATTAATCTCCCGCTGAAAACAGTCCTCAACAAATGCACTATTTCCACCTGTTTGTTTAATAAAAACTACAGTGAGCGTCTGTTTTGGGAAATTACCATCAAAACTTTTTTTTTAATACATTTACATCTTCTGCATCTTTGATCTGCGCATTAAATTTGTTGACAATAGAAGACATATACACCAAATTTGATTTAAACGTTACCTTACGTTGACTTTTTAAACATAGTCACCAGAAAAAAGGTTGATGTCGTACGTTTCTACAAACCACGAATATGTTACGTTTGTACATGATGTGACATTTCAACAACTGGTTAATGTCTGATTAGATTTAAGACTCATTTATCCTTTATGTACGAAAGTACAATAAAACGTTGACTAAAAGCCTAGTCCCTTTTACAAGCCCAATGTGGCTACACATTTTGACAAATAAATTCCTGTCTCAGTTAGACGCCCGGTCTGGTTGCCAAGCAGTTACATTTTTTTTTTTTTTTTATAGAAGTTCTCTGGATGTATGAGACCAGGTTGTTGGCTACCTCAAATTATGTGTCTGTTCCTCGATTACCCTGTAAGTTATTCATATTGCATTAATCCGTAAGGGTCCTCAGATCAAACGAATCAAAAGGTTTTTTTTTATAGAAATTAAGTTTCAAGTTGTGAGTATTGTTTTAACAGGATAAAGTGCTGTTGTGTCTGGTGCCGGGTGCCGTAATCCTCGAGTGCCACTCTTTCTCTGATGTCTGTCAGGGGTAGATCAAATGAATGACTCATAATTGGTATATTATCTGAAGCGTAATTTTTAAACAAGTAATATTCTTACTGGTTTAAATAAACAATTTGATTGTATTACCCAATCTATGCTGACCAACAGTTTTGTGTTAAAGGAATTAAAGGCCTGTCACAAATATAGGCCTGTTGATTTCAGGGATTTACGCAAATAATAGCCCGGACTATTAATTCATGTTTTACAGTAGAAATGTCCATTTCACATGTTCATCACATCACTGCCCTCATATTTCATGTTTACTTTATGTTGGCATAGATACAGCCAGTAGATGGCACTAGAGGGCAGAGTTAAAAGTTCCACAGAGCAACAAAGGAGCTGACAGTGGAGGAGGTCGTAGCAGTGTTCCTTTAAACGGAGGCAGTGTTGTTAACCGTGGTCTTCTGTATGATATCACATCCTGACGTGTGTACAGAGAATTATTTTCACTACCTTACCAATTCGTTCCTTTCCGTGATAATTTAAATTTATTTGACGTCTCCTTTAGTCACATCTTGCTTGAACCATGCTATACTGCCTCTATGATCTCCGGTGGCACTGGAGGCAGGGTATAGACAGAAGGCTCCGTTCGTCTCTGACTTAGTATTAAACGCTGAGCATGAATGAACCCTTAGGCACAAAAACAAATGATCTTTGTGGCACTATTTTCTCTGGACAAATAATTAGAGGCCCTAAAAATTACCCACGTTTTGTGGCTACAAACCTGCTCAAAACACTGAGATGTCTTGGTAAAAAACAACTGCTTTTCCTGGCACTTTCCCAGATGGAAAAACAGCGAAGCGTTTGCTGTTTTTTGGTCTTGAACAGTGGTCCGCTGCTTGGCAGGCGTCTCTCCTTGGTGACACGCCATCCATCATCTCCTCCACCTCCCAGTGACAAAGTCAGCTCATATACTACGTCACTTTAGAAACATTGGTATGATCCATGTGAAACGTATAAATGTAACTTAGTGGTGGTTTGCAGAAGCGTACAATGCCAAATTTTTCTTCTGGCGGCTGGGCTGAGTTGATTAATTACTGACATGTCTGTACTTACACTTGGTGGCTTCCTCTCCTGAATGTCGTGGAGGCTGCATTCAGTCATACTGTGTATATAACAACATTCCTCCACAATAATCCTGTTATATTGTTACCAAATGAATGAAGCTGTTACAGCCTGTAAGAGAGCGTGTTGATTGTTTTTTATCATTAACTTTCTGATGTAGTTAACATGCAGAATGTGATCACCTAAAGTTTGATGTATAACATGCACTGTATCTGCCAGAGACCAGCCTTTTGTGTTCACACAGGATGTTTTGTACATTGTTTAAAATTTCAGTCTCTGGTGTTCTTTTTTTTTAATTGTTCATTTTTATGGTTTATGATTCACTTTTTTATCTTTGTTGTTTGTATGACAAGAAATGAAAATATATTTGCACACACTTTTATTGAAACCTGTCTGTTGTTGGTGTTTTGTTCGTGTTTGTTATGGCAGGGAGCTGAGAGGATGTGAGAGACTGCTGGTTTGAATCCTCCGACTCCAGCTGGTGAAAGTCAGGTCAGGGAAGAAGTGAGGCAAGGTACTGTCAGTCTGACTGTGTGAACAAGTTGACTTCTATTTCAGTATAACATAGGGATAATTTTTTTGTCCCTTGTTCCTGAGCAGAGTCCTTCTTCCTCTTAGATCTTTATGACAGAAACAAAAATCCATAATTTACTTCATTCATACGGTCCTGTTAATGGATCTGTTTTCGGCTCTGTTCCAAATAAGTCTTGTACACTACCATTCAGGAGTTTTGAATCAGCCATCATCAATCAGTGCCTCCGCGTCAGTGCATCTGTTCGTCTTTTTGTCCATCTGTCCTTTTTTCATAAACAGGATATCAAGAACTCCTTGATGATTGTTTTGTTAATTTGGCACAAACATGGCGCCCCCTAGCTCACGTGGTAGAGCAGGTGCCCCAAAAGGCTGTGTTCTTGCCATAGCAGCCACAGGTTTGATTCCAACCCATGGCCCTTTGCTGCATGACATCTCTCCTCTTTCTTCCCCTTTCACACTGTAGCTGCCCTCTCAAATAAAGGCACAAAGCTCCCAAAAAATATCCTTAAAAGAAATAAAAATTTGGCACAAATGTCAACATGGACTCAACAATGAACTGACTACACTTTGGTGATCAAAGGTCAAGGTCACTATGACCTTGCGTCCATCTCATTCTCGTGATCATGATATCTCTTAAATGCCTTTAGGGAATTTATTCAAATTTGGCAAAAATATTCACTCGAATTGAAGCATACATTGATTAGAATTTGGTGGTTAAAGGTCAAAGGTGAAGGTCAGTGTGAGCTCACAGAACACATTTGGCCGTAACTCTTAACACAAATGTCTGATAAGATATACTGATGAAGTGATGACATGTTATATCCAAAAATATTGAGTTTGTTTTGCTCTGGGCCCTCTGCAGTCCCCACAGTGATGACATTGGTGGATACTGTTGGAACTTGGGCTTTGAAAATTCTATTTCATTTTTATTTTTATTTATTTATTTATTACTATTATTATTTTTTCTATCTTTTTTTCAGTCCAGAAAAGGGTAAGTAATGATAAGATTTTTTTTTTTCTTTTTGCGGATAATGTTGGCCAAAAAAAGTTTATCTCACATGTATGAGATATTGAGATAATATCTCCTGCATAGGTTTAATCTGAGATGCAGACAAAACAGGCTAATACTGGTTTAATCTGAGAATATCCACAGGCCTCCTGCATAGGATATAATATATTGTACATAGGAAATTAAAAAAAAATAAATCGCCTTGCTTCTCAGGGCTTAGGTATGTGAGTGACCAAAACGGTGCAGTTGGTCTCTAAATATTTATTTTTTGGGGCCCTCTGCAGTTTATTATTGTTATTTAAATCCTTTACTTAAGTAAAAGTACTTATACTACACTGTGAAAGTACTCCATCACAAGTAAAAGTACTGCATTCAAAACCTTACTGAAGTGAAATCAGCTGAATGTAGCGTATGAACTTTAAGTAAAAGTAGTGAGTGTGCAGTAATATGTTCCCTGTCATCTTTAAAGTAACTAAAGCTATCAGATAAATATAGTGCAGTCAAAAGTACATTATTTTCCTCTGAAATGCAGTGGAGTAGAAGAATAAAGGTGCATAAAATAGAAATACTTAAAGTACAAGCATCTTAAATTTGTACTTCCACCGCTGTGTTTTTTCTTCATTTACTGGTTTAATTTATTGTTCTTCTAAGAACATTCAGTTTGTTGACACTTTATCTGCGCCAGCATGCTGCTAACCAGCTTCTGTTGTATGTTGAGTCACCTCAGGTGATACTCGCGTGCTAATCGGCTCTAATCCTCCACCTGGCTCCATAACCTTAATGCCTGCACTGTTAATGTAGATCCAGGCCTCTAAACCACTTTACATTATAGGCCAATCTGTCCACACACACACACCCACACACACACACACACACACACACACACACTTTCACCCTTAGGCAGCATTAATGGGATTATAGAGGTTCACCCAGTACTGAGTCTGAAACTGTGAGCCAGCGGAATATCAGCTTTCACTTTCACAGAACGGCCTGTACGCACACGCACACACACATACACACACACACACACACACACACACACACATACACAGACATTGCATTACCATCTGCCACCGCCATTCTGTCAATTTATGACCTAATACGACAAAAAAAACCTCACATAAGTTTAGGTCTAAAATGAATAAATAAATTAAAATA